ATATATTTACTAATATAATTTGTATTTTATAATACCTAGAAGACCGTCTAAAGCGAAATGCGCTTCAATCACGGTATTTTTGTTTTTTGGTCTTTCTTCCTCCTGATCACTTAATTCGACATTAAGGAGTTAATGCGATGAGGTCCTAATCGAACCTACAACCTACGGTTTCTTACCCAGACAACTCTGTGCAAGATAGCGGACTTGCAAATTGGTAGTGCAGTTTCATCGATAACGATACTATCCAAGTGCAGCCAAACGCGTAGATGGGCGCGATGTACTCCGTCAAAAGGAAAATGGATTCCTTATTCTAAATCGACTTTCAATGCACCCGCGCGCCATGTTGCACAAAAGGAACCTAACTGGCCGTCAGCCAACATCAATTGTTCTCCAGCTGGTAGCGGGAATAGCCCATCAGCATTTGCACGCATGATGCTCACATCGCTAGCATTTTGTTGGAACGTGAACTCTATTCAAGGATAGGAATGCTCTATATATATATATATATATGTACTTGCTACCTAGATCGAGCATACATGTTAGTGTATAAACAGTCGTCCGAGCTCTGTTATGAGGAATACTCGACAAGCGCTAGAAGACAGCATTTTACAAGCCATTGATCTTTTACTGACCATCACGCGAGGAGAAGCGAACTGAAAACTCGTAGAGTAGAGCGGATTCTCTTACATTTATGTCCTAACATACGAAACACCATTGCTGTTCTCCATTTACACAGCAAACACGTTTGCTGAGCTATCAAATATTTAAAAAGACATACTTTATTTTCTATGCAAAAAAAATCTATTGCATCTTCCAGTATTCTGTATATGAATGTAAGCTTGAAGAGATGAAATAAGCAAATTTTGCATCAACAATTGCATTTTATGGACGGTCAATTTAATCCCGTTGCCCGAAATGCCCTCTAATACAGCCGCGATTAGAAAAAGCAGCAGGAGAAATATATTCCGGCAGGAAGCAGAGACAAGCAACAACATTACAATTCATCAACTGTTTCTGAAGTTTCGCTGCTCTTCTACGGCCGCATTTGAGCGCCTTCAGTGGCCAGACCAAATGACCCACGATGTTTCTTTATGCCATTAGGGATCCTTAGCAGATGACACTCCGTTTCGAGCTTTCCTGACGATGCTACTGGTGCTTACTTACCGTTAGCGATCCATTTCTACAACTACTGTCTGAGGGCAGTACTATATATCTATATACCCGAAACCCCTGCCAGCTGGGCCTTACTATACAGGTGCAGAATACCCTTGCCCGTTACTGCGCGCCTTCCTCCCGATATCGCCCACCTCAATCTAATTCGTTAGTGTTCTTTGATACTTTGCGCCTGCCCCAAGACTTACCCCCTATAGCATTTTCCTACTTTCCCAAATTCTGTAAAGCCTATTTTAAAGCGATTGCAAAAAATACTGCTAGAATTTCTACAAAGAATAACTCAAGCACAATTGTAGCAAACGGAATTAGCTGATCCAGTATCCGAAACAGTAAAACATCTGGATATCAGCTATAACGAAATCTTTTGTGGAAAATTGCATTTGCCTAAATCGCTATATTTTTGAGTGATTATATGACTCAACTGTGCTAATTTTTTATTAAACCAAAGTTGAAGTCAAAAGATTGACAAAGGATTAACAACTCGGTTGTTAACAAAATGAGCGAAAAATTGAGCCCACGTACAGAAAAATTCATTCAATTAACGTAAAAGTATAAAATGGAGGATTGCTACTATCATAGTTCAGCAAAATTGGCAATTGCATAATAATAACAATGAATTATGATAAATTAGCCCCTGCAATCACTTTACAATTTATTACACCTGTTTTATAATATTATTTGATGTGGTAAAAAGAACACTGCTTTTTTTTAATGTATACACTTATAGCAGAACTAAAGGTTCACGAGCATACAAACGTCAAGTCGAAACTTAGACTGAAGATCAATCGAGAGTCAATGCAAAAAACGTTTTCAATCTATAACATAACCCTTCACAAAACATAAGAAGCCCATCGCAGAAAGCAGCCTGATGGTAGAACACAGTAGCGATGCTGGTTTTTGTTATATCGTTTCGGTTCTAGTCTTTCATTATAGCAGAAAAATACATTTCAGAATTTCTTAAGAAGTATATTTTAAAACCATACACGTTCAAGGACGGAACTCGAATCTGTAGTCTGTGAGATTTGCAACTAGAGGTTCACCTGTCTATCTCACCATATTGGATTTATGACTTGCCATTATTGAAGGCTAAAAGGATTAAATGGCATGTTCAAACAGTTGTTTTATTGTAAGATAGCTTCCGCAACGTGCTCCATATATAACGAGTTAAAATATACGCTAGAGGTTGACTGATTATATTAAGTTTATTGCGAGGTGCTTTGTGCGCAAAACTCGCGAATAATACGGTTGCGGTTTGATTCTACTCGGACATGTGCTAAACAAAAACCAATTAATAACGGCTTTGGTGCCCTTCAAGCACGTTTCAGCTTCCCTTTCAGTGTACACGAATGCATCTTGTTGATCTGTGTCTGTTTATGGCCGACTTCCCACTTAAACAGGGGCTAATCCACTACACTATTATGAGGACTCGGTTTCGCATCAGAACCGTTTCTCACTAGGTGTGGAAGACAAACACGTTACCGCCAGAACATCGCGCGAACAGGGGCAAAATGAATGCATGGCAAACAGGAATGAGCTTTCATTCAGAAAGACATTCGGCCTGCGCATGCGCGATTCGCTGGCCAAGTTGCTCTACTCGCTGCAACTAATCGTATATAATCAAAGCATTTTGTAAACAGCGGAATATGGGTGATAGTGCACTAGCGGCGATGAGCAATCCATCAGCTGACTGCGGTAAGCTGTTCACACTCACACGAGTAGAGTCTATATTGGTCGCTTCCAATTCTTCCGTAAGTAGATTTCGATATTCGTTTATTTTTACATTGAATTGCTCTAAAATCCAAGCATCCTACAATATTTTTATTAATAATGATTTTTACAATATTAATTTACTATTCAAGTTTGATAGACGTAATCACAATTTTATGCATGCGATACGACTGTTAAGTAAACTATCAAAATAAAATGATGTATTTTGCCAATCATTCCCTTTTAAACAACCTAATGTATTGAGTGTTTTATATAGAAGATGGGCCAATACATATTTATTTGAATGTCATGCGAGATGAATAAATAGCATTTATGTATCTTTAGACCGTCTAAAAGTAGCGACTTGCTTGGAGACAGTTGCTACGCAATTTAAACTTTAAGGCCTATGTCTTTTATCACGTTCAATATGTATTTGATCTGTAGAAATTAAACGTACTAGAAGCTAATGTTCGCGGAGTTACAACTAATTGTTGACTTACTCGTTTGTTTCTGGTGCGTAGAACAAGAAAGGAAAATACGTTAGATTGAGATTTTGTCGTTCTTCCTGGCGTCCTAGCAGGATGTGATCTGTCATTTACAGGCCAGTTGAAAAATAGGACAATTCTATGGCATCATCATAGGTAAAACCTGGCTTTTGCACGGATAAAAACGTTGTGTATTTTTTGTCCTCTGTTTGTTATATGCGCTCTGTTTGAAGTTCTACTAAGTCCGTAGAATTTCCTTACGAAAGTATTTCTCTTGATGTAACGTCACCATCTACTTTATAATAATATAAAAGCTTTGCAAGTAAAAAAAAAAAAAGAAAAAAGTACATAGAGTCCTTATGAAGCTTATCATGATGTTCAGTACGATTTGAGAAAGGGAATGAATATGATTGGATAGACGCATTGTTTTCCGACATGGCCTTTGTAATGTTACCTTGTCATTATCGTCATGTTCAATACAATACGTAGCTATTTCCGTCGTGTATCAACGCATAATTTACGCTCAATTACACAAGTGTAACTTCATAATCAGATAGACCTAATTTTGGGCTCCTACATTCATAAGACGTTATCTCCTTGTACTTTAGATTCGCCTAAGGTAATAATTTGAATTGACAAATACAAGGTAAAAGATTTTATAGTCAGTAATAAAGGCCTACAAGAGCGATGAAAATTTCATGTGATGAAGCTTTTTGCACCTCAGCTTCATCTCTATTCCGCTGTAGAAGATATTCGTTATCAGTCAGTTTGGTGCGTCACAGAAAGACGTAATTACGTTGTCCTATTTAAAAATATGAACCTTATGCACTCTTTAGTTCTGTGTCGATTGAATTCCTAAGACTTAAAAATATGTACTTGAAGTGTTCATTCTCTGTTATATGGTACAGTGATTTCAGACGCACAATTTCCACATGTTTCTACTGCTGGGTAACCTCCTCGTAACTTCGATGGCACTTATGGCAGGCGCCTCAATTGGGTCACATACGAGCCGAAAAGATCTTAAAGTTATTTTTGAGACTGGATTCCTCGACCAACAATGCAGGGGTACGTTAGGCATGCAAGGTTAAACAAACAGTTTCAGATTTTAAATTTCTTAACTGGAATAATATATATAGCAGAGTAAATGAAATATACATATATCTCCCATGTACTTAATATAATATGAAATTTTGCCAAGCCACGCTGCCTGCTGACAAAAATTATAGAGTATCTTAACTCATTAGCCGCATCGAACAATTTGGTCAGATTATTATTTATATCTCTATCTGGGTGATTAGTATACATGTTGGACTAGCTAATTTATTTTATCTTCGTTTTTTTTCTAGCCACACATTGGCTGGGGAAGCTGAATATGACACAATGCAGTTACTGCGACTCCAGTATTGTTCTACAGGATTGTACTTTCCCAAACGGTATGTTATCTTAGATTCAAGACTTATAATTTTTTTTTTGTTATTTGTTTCAATCTCCATGAAACTCTGCGTTTCATGACCAGTTTAACTAAAGTTCTTGCTGTTGTTTAGGTAAATTGTTGAAACGGATACCGTCATTTTGTTTGACCAACATGCAAGATATTTCAAACGAACAAAAAACATCATGATAATCCTGTTTAACGTGGATCATTCCGAAAAAATAAGCATCTCTATATCGTAGATGGCTATCATTGAAGCCCAACAATTTTATTGAACAAGTTTATAGTTGTTTATAGTTTATATAATTTATAATTGTGTAATGGTACACACTATGGTTAGCAGAAAGAGCTGCATGGATCAACTTCTTAAATCAATGTCTATTGTTTCCTATGTCTATGTTTGTAGAAACTACGAAACTTACCACGAATCAGTATGAAATAGTATGCACCATCAATGGCGACTCGGCACACGTAGACGATATGAAGCTCTACTGCTCTGAGCTGCGCAATGGGACAAACTGTAAAGGTTAGTGGACCGCGCTAAGACATGCAGGGGTTTACGGAATGAAGTATTCTTATTGCTGGTTTTGAAGAAGCGCAGCTGTCGAAACCGATAAATAAGTTGGCGTATTGAGGCAATACTGAGCAAGCAATTAAGTTAAATTACTTTAATTAATAACCAATCCAATGATTTTATCTAAATTATTTTAATAGTTTTTGCAGTATTCATTATGCGCATAGAAAAATGTTAATCTGAATTAGTTCATCTCGATGACCTATACATAATGACTGTTAGTTTTTGTAGAAAGTGGTACAGAAATTAAGATAATACACTTAAAATTCTCTGATGAAAAATATTGTTTCTTTGCTTTGTTTTTTTCTGCTTATCATTCAGCTACGTGCAACCTAACCCATCGTTCCGCGAATATGAACAGGACTACACCTACTTTGTTATCGTCACTGGGTAATTCCGTACCGGGCGTTGCTGGTGGTATAATGGCACTTACGTTACTGGGGTGCATTATCTACATAACATGGCGGATACGTCGGAAGAACCAGGAGCTGGCTGCTAGATTTGCAGTGTTACAACAAATATAACGTTATTCGATGCGCTAAAAAAATTCGTCGTCTAACCTGCGGCTCCATCGCGTCACTCCAATCGGCGTTTCAAATAAATACCAGCAGCAAGACAATGCCAGTAAAAATACTCACATCCAGAAAGAGCTTATGGTTATGGCTATTGGTCAAACAAATAAAATTGTCTTTTTAATCTATTTGTTATTAGCCTATGGTAGTACGTGGTTATTTTCCACCCATCAGCGCAGGTTCCAAAGTGCTCTACTCCATTTAAAATATAAGCATATTTCTTGAGTCTAGGAGAAAAGGCTTTCTTGTTTCTTCTTTCTTGGTAGCCCGCAAAATTACAGCACCTTATTCCTATTAATTCGTATCATACTTTGCCAGTTTCAACATCTTTGTTTTATGTTTGCACATACTTGTATTTTAATCGATTTGAGACTTTTGAAAATAACAGCTAAACTATATATGTATAGTTTATATGTATGCATATATGTATATATGTATATAGTTTAACGGTGTAAATATTAACATGATTTTGACATCGAAGTAGTCATCCGGTGTATATTATGAATATTAAGTAAGAGGTATCGTGGTAGACAGCAGCGCATATAGTTGAGAGATTAACGGCACCGATTGCACGACATGGGATATAAATGGGCATTAACATGTATCTTGTCTAGAAAAAGAGGTTTACTTTGTGTGACAAAATACCAAAATAAACCACTAAAGATATCCATACAATTTTACCTATCAGCTATTCTTCTACAATGACACACTGTTTCCAGATTAGTGTTTAAATACTAAAGCAAATAAATCATCCTGTTGAAGATTTTTGGTCATGGGTACCTTTAATTGAATTATTAAATTAACTGATAATTGTTGTAGGCATTTTTTTCGCACATCAGCGCTCTAGCTGGATCAACTGACCTTTTGCACTCTGTTACAATAATCACATTCTATTTCAACTTAGATAAAAATATCGACTGAAGTAATCTGGAAATGGAACGATATTAAAGCCAGTGAACTAACGTACATATTCTTTGCTTGCGTTAAATGAAAAGCAGCCAGTACGACATTTTCACACATAGATGTCATAGAAAGCACGTCAGTGTACTACGTGCGTAGCAAATTAGCAAACACGTGTTGAATATGATACAAATGTGATAAACTGCAGCGACCTAATTTTTGTGATTTTCAAACATAGAGATAAATGTGCTACTGTTTCTAGATATCTTAAAGCTCTTCATGCTAATTCTGTATGCTGGTGCTTATAAAAACAAGAAACAAAAATCAAATTGCTTACTTTTTCCCAGTTACCCCGGAATAAGTGGTTTCTTTAAAGGAATGGCTTATCTATATTGAACGCGTCATATCTTTCGTGATGTCTGTGAAAAATAGGTGCTTAAACAAACTCATCTGATTGATTTCTTTACATATAATTGACTACTTTTCACCATTAGGATAGTCGCAATAAATCTGTTTCGCAGTCAAACCTATTTCAGCTTCAGTGTTGAGCACATTTAGATGTGAATTCTTATAGCTTAAATGAAACAGAAAGATTTGCGAGTAAATTCTTACTAAATTGTTTTTATCTTTATCTGATTGGGATTTTTTACAAAAAAAGCTATTAAACATATTGAGCTACATTCGCTTAGTTAACGAAATTTGATAAACATTTAGATGATGTCTTTGGCTATCTGCAACCACAAGTTGACTAAATGTTATGAGAGGCTAGTAAAGGAATAATAACAGACAAAAAAAAAGTCATCAAGCTTTCGTTTCCTACACGGGGCAAGAAGACTCGCAAAGCAACTACTCGCGACTACTGTAATCATTCCAAAGATGTAAAATTGGAGATCTAAAACCATAGAAGAGGTGCCTACACCTCAAGACTCCAAATGAAAGAGCAAGCTGCTGTGGTCAAAGACGCTTTTAAGTAAAACAGAGCATAAACATGCGCTCCAATATGTAATTCCTTTTAGTGCATTTTTGTGAGGTTTTCGCGAGAACACTGGAGATTGCAAAAAAACCAATTGCTTCATTACAAGACTTACGACCTGAGTTTAGGACAGATGGAAGCACGTGCTACGCCGCACTCAAGGGACAATTTGAGCAACCACTAGCGGCTCAGACCTGCCTAGAACGTACAGTTACAACAAACGGGGCACAGATCAGTCAGTGTGCTCTTTAGAAAAGGTTATGGAAGGGGAACGGCATCGAACAAATGAAAGGGCGACTTTGGTTACAGTGCCGAGTTGATAGAAACACTGGCATCTTGAACTGCAGAAAAGTGTCGTACAACAAGTTTGTTTAGACCACCTCTTCGGCGTCATATCCTATGACTGATCGAAATGCAGTAATTAATCCAGGAATGATCGATGGATATGTCATTCAGCAGATGTTTTCACTTCATTGCAATTGTAAAAATGATCTTGAATGTTATAAACATTGAGTTAAACTAACCCTGAAAAGAATAAAATGAGTTTACCTGGAAAGGATATCATACTTATTGAACGCCGATCTATATTGTCAATTTGATGAGTCGCATTTCTCAAAACGTTGAATTTGATGAATTTGATGAAGTTGATGACAGCAGTACCTGGGGTAAAAAGATATTATGGGTAAAATTGCATACAGATTATTCTCAACGTTTTTTTAACAACTCCCTTAAAACCGTGTCGTATTTCGGATAAGAACAATTTTAGCGTAAATGACGCTGGCTAGAATCGCCAAAATTGATGAAAAAAGAAGCATCTGGGTTACAGCTTTAACTATAGTATGCAATAAACAATCCGGAGCACAGTGCACGGACGTACCCTCCCTTTCTCTCTTTACCTAAATGGTATGCGCCTGCCTTAGTACAAGCCAGAAAAAAGCAAGCATCTCTATAAAGATTACAAACATTTGACGCGTCTCTCGTTCAAGCACTTTGGAAGTCACAAAGCATTGATCCTTCTTAGCCGATAAATACAAGACAGCGTTTCGGATTCATAGATCTACATCATATATTTCCAAATGTTTCATCATGTTAGTCACTGATTGATACTCGAGAGTCTGTCTTGGTAGATTCAATTTTTGGCGCCATCGACGATCAGCTGTTGGCCACTGTTTACCTATAGGAAAACCAGAACACATGTAAGGGCAGTTCAATACAGAATCTCCCATTATGCGATATAAGTCCTTTGTTTGCACAGTCTCTTGTTCTAGTCTCGGTGAATGTTGTTACTAAGCGCTTTTTTTTAGAAACTCTTTATTATTCAGGAGAAGGCGCTCTGCGACACACGACGGCTATTCAACTATATGGCAAATAGCTGGGTGCAGTGGTTACTTGAACTCTTGGTAAAATTTATCGACCTGATTACGTTCGGTAAAATGCTTCGCGGGACACCTGCTGAGCCGGAGTTAACGATCAATGTGAAGTTTAGTAGGGATCTAACGATACCGGTAAAGATTACGCCGGAAATGACAGTGCAGAAAATTAAGCAGCACCTTAGTAGCGATCTAAACATACCCCCAGAGGAGCTTCGAATCATCTTCGCCGGCAAAGAACTTCTAGACCAAACGGTCTTACAGGTTGGTGTAAAATACATAAAAAAAAACTAGATAGTATAACTATTGACCGGGTTATTATAGACATAATATAGCCACGTAAACGCGCGCATATCATTATCACTAGATAAACCATCGGAGTGAAACTATCATGTCTTCGAATGGTTACTCAGTATTGCCTCGCTGCCTCATAGTACTGATATCAGCGCCATCATCAGGGAAAATCAAATCGCACATTTGAGTAAAGGTTAAAGTGTAACAGACAAACATGAGATCATCAATAAACAAGTTTTCCTTTAACTAACAGTATAAAAAAAATAAATATTTTCCATCATTTTAAACTTACGTCGAGCTTTATTTTAGAAAAGCAACATCATACCACTGTGACTATTTTTTTTATTTACGCGGTAATTTATGGAGCGCGCGCGCGCTCTCTGTTCTATTGTGCGTCACCCCCATTTTGTATACATCAAACACTAATCGTCGCATATGTCGTCGTCGTCATCGTCATTTGCGTCATCGTGATTTTTAAAGACGGCGTAAAAACCGAAACAAATCAGCATAGCAGCGTGAAAATATATTTCCAATTTTAGCGGCCTTTTTTTAATTTTCCCGCGGCCACTTTTTTACTCTACCGCAAGACCACAAGAGAACGTTCTTCTTCGTCATCTTTTTTTCTGCCTATTTTTCTGCGATCTTCGCACTGTATCTACTGATCGCCTCAAGCAGCGTTCCTTGCGTTCGGAATAGAAGTTAAAGCAATTTTTCGTGCTCACACCGCCGCAGCGGGGAACGGCGGCTCCAGTACGGCCAGCTTAGCTCAGTGGGCTGCATCGATATGCGAGTCTGCCATGCGCTGTCGGCTAGAAGCACCGTTGCTGCAGCAAGGGTTTCTGATCATTGGGCGCCTGTCTAGCACGAGGCCCATTGGCAGCTCTCGGTCAGCCGCTATGTCTGCTCTGGCCGCCGTTCCTAACACAGCATTCACCCTTTCAATCGACACACAACAGCCGCTGGAGCAGAGGATTAGCGTTGCTCAGTGGCAGAGCGCGGCTCAATTATTGCCTGTTCGAGGCCTGGCGGCCGCCATAGCACCGGCGGGCTGGATGCGACTATGCTGTCTGCTAACTGTTGGCTGCGCCTGGCGCTGCTGTCGCCGCCGCCGTCGCCGCCGTTACTTGAGGCTAACTGGCTGCCTGGTTGGTTGGTAGTGAGCGAGTGAGTGAGCAGAGCGTTTAATGGTGCTGCTGCGTTGCGTAGTGTGTGGGTTGTGATGCGGTGCGTGCTGTTGTGCTAACGACGGTGAGGTGTGCTCAAGGCAGGCGGCTCGAGTCACTGTGAGCCTTTCGTTTTTGGGCCACTGGCTTTCGCAACAACCTCTTATACTACTAGTACTTCGACTGCTACTACAAATAGTGCTGCAATTGTTGTTGGCAGCTTTTAGCGTTGCTAATTCGGGTAGAGGTCATTTGCTGTGGTTGTCTCCCGTGTTTGCGTCTGGTTACTGGAGACGAGAGCATAGTAGTTCGTATCGTGTACTTCGCGTCACCACACGACCCGATTCGGCTCCGCTCTCGTGCCGTTACTGTGTTCTTCGGCTGCTTATAGTTTGTGCCAGTTCTGCTGCTGTCGCGCTACACGTTCGTCCGTTCATTTGGCCACTGTACTTCGTTGCTACTACTGCTACTACTGCTGCTGCTGCTGCTGCTGCTGCTGCTGCTGTTGTTCGGCGGCTCGGTGATGTTGTAAGATGGCCGACGGCGACATCGACCTATACGCCGACGCCGAACTCGACAACGAGTTCGGCGGGGGCGCGTACGATGAAGGCCTTGATAATGTTGATCTTTACGATGATGTGATCGCCCCAAGCGGTTCCTCGTCAAAGGCCGACAAGGACTCGGCGGTTGCGGGCATCACCGGCAAGGACAAGAAAAATGGCCTACTCGATACACCGCCCGGAGGACCTCTGCTTGCCGCCGGCCCGGACGGGCGCGCTAAACGCGTCGCTATGTACATTGGTGAGTATTACATTCTGAGTATTTGTGCGAAATCTGAGGGAACTGCTGGTCCTTCTGCAGTCCGGCGGTATCATATCTTTGCGAACTAGCAGTTAGTGCATGTATACGCGGCCTTTACACTACATATACATAGATAGTACTATATATATATATATATATATATATATATATATATATATAGAAAAGAGACAGTGTCCTATAAAGAATATATTATTACCAATTGTTTCATCATTTCGTGTATGTTATATACTGATCCACATACCTAATAGTAATACCCAGGCGCTTCAGTATTTACCAGTTAGTCACGCGAGGGTTAATTTCGTGGTGGACCTTCAGGCTATTTCATCGTATTTCAGCTTTGAATGCAGTGTTATAACGTACGAAATATATATTACACTCCGGGCAAAAAAGTGACCTGTACAAGAGAGCTTTAAACCGTTGCGTTCCCACGCTGGGTCGAAAGGGCGAGAGAAGGAGAGAGGGGGGGGGGGGATTGCTGAATATGATGGGCAATCAGTATTAACTCATGGTGCGTTGCATCAAATCAAACGTACCTCAGTGAGGCTTACTAATTAGTTTTACTGACGAAACCATTTGTTTATGCATTAGGCCATACGCGTATTACATATAGCAGAAGTGTCACTTTTTAACAACGTTAGCATATCTGTTGTACGTTTTGAGTGGACATTTTTGTGCGGCCATGTTTATGTTTCATTTTCCTATAGGCATCGTTCCATTCAATTGGAAGAATTGTCTTCGGTCGATTATATTATAAGCTAGAAAATTATCACTGAGTGCCAAGCGAATATTATTCAGATGATTGCTTAATCATCAGGAATAATATACTGTTTCTCACATCAAATGTAAACGCATAGTCAGTTTCTTCGCTGCATTATACGATTCTAGGATATGATATATGATGATAATTATCTGTACTAACAGTAATAGATAAATATCACACTTGCATTTACGCTAGAGATTTTTAGTCGTAAAATAATGTAGTTTTGCTTATGGCAACAATGGTTAGCTACCCAGACAAAGGCAATATAGGGTATGGTTTACAGACTCGAAAAGGAAAAAGAAACAGAAAGCTGTGCTCCTGATGTAATCACATATTATCAATTAATTAGTAAGTAGCGAATGTTACTTTTAGCACATGGAGCCTGAGGCTAGTTCTTTATTATAGTAATAGAATAATTTAGTTATAAATGTGTGGATGCAACGGTGTTAAGCGACAGCATTATATGAAATATGTACTAATATCCATTACCTGGATCCTTGCGCTACTTCGGTTTCACCAGAGCTTTAGCGGTTGGTCACATATTTAATATTTATCGCCTCACGCAGCTAGCATTAAGCGAATGAAATATCAGCCTCCTCCTATCTCTATAACTAGACAACATTTGACTACGGCTGTGTGAAATTTCTATCAGGAAGATTACAGTATGACAGACTGAAGTTAGGCAGCAAAAGAAAGAAATCTGTTGCAACAAAGTAAAACGCGGCAAACTAGTCGTGGAGTAAATATCGCAGGAAACATCTAGTGCATACGTGTATATCAGTAACAATAGCAAAGCGTTTTCCGTTGGCAAGAAAAGCCGCGTTAACAAATCTCGATCTGCAGGTAACCTGACCTGGTGGACAACAGATCAAGATATAACTGATGCAATCCAAAAGGTGGGTGTTCAAGACATGATCGATGTGAAGTTCTTCGAGAATCGCTCAAACGGACAGAGCAAAGGATTCTGCGTAGTTACCCTTGGATCGGAAGCGTCGTTCAAAACACTATTAGAGCTCCTCCCTAAAGAAGAGTTGCATGGACACAATCCTATCGTTACACCCTGTACGAGACAAAGCCTGAACCAATTTGAGGTGGGTTATTTATGTAGTTAGTACGCGTCAATTTATTACAGATGCATTTTCTTGTACATAACCATAACAACGTTGTTTGCTGTATTGAATACGCACTGAGCACTGATTGCTCAGTCTGTTTGGCATTGCGTTTGATGGTATAAGATAAAGGACGATATTAATTGGAAAAAAGGCGTTGACAATAGGTTTTTACTAATTCTGGTTTCGATATCTTCTACAGGCTGCATGCCGTAAACCTGGCGATCCACCGTCTCGCGACGGATCAGCTGGTGGCATGGATCATGATGGTCCACGTGTAGGTGATCGTGGGGAACGCCGAGGAGGTTTCCGTGAAGAGAACAACCGCTTCGGCGATAACAATGGTGGGGCTGGGGACAGGTTCAATAACCGCGACAACGGCGGTGGTTTTCGAGATAGCGGAAGCTTTCGCGATAGTGGCGGCTTTAGGGATGGAGGTAGTTTCCGTGAGGGTGGTGGTTTCCGGGATGGGGGCGATTTTCGTGAGGGTCGCGGCGGGTTCCGGGGCGGTCGAGGCGGTTTCCGTGACGGTGGCCGAGGTGGCTTCCGAGGCGCAGGGGATAGCTATAGAGAGGGTGGTTTTCGAGAGAATGACAGTTTTAGAGATGATCGTCGTGACGGTGCCGGAGGAGGTTTTAGAGAAGGGGGTGGATTTCGAGATGGAGGTGGTTTCCGGGATGGGGGCGGCTTCCGAGATGGAGGATTCCGTGACAGCGGCGGTTTCCGGGGCCGGGGTCGTGGACGTGGGGACCGGGGGGGCCGAGGAGGTGGTCGGTTTGTTGATAGCGTAACAAGCCACTGGAACGATACTGCTGGACCCCCGACGATGGGATTCCAGCAACAGACCAACAATGGGCCAGCACCTAATACCAGAGGCCCACCACCGCCTACCTTCCAAGGTCCTCCCCCCGGTGCCCCGCCCATAATGCCCCCACCACCAAGTAATCTTCCTCCACCGCCGGGTGCGCCCCCCGCTGGACCGTACAGCCTTCCACCACCTGGCACTCTGCCGCCGACGATGCCACCACCAATTGGCGCACCGCCTCCAGGTATGCCGCCCATAGGGGCACCGCCCGTTCCTGGCCGGCCTCCACCGCCTTTGCCCGGAGTGCCGGGTGCACATCTCAATCCGGCGTTCTTCCCCGGACCGCCACCGCCATTCGGGACAGAATTCCCGCCTGGCGAACTGGCTCCTCCGCCAGCCATAAGTGATCAAGAATTCGAAGACACGATGGCCCGTCATCGTGCGATCAGCTCATCAGCAATTTCGCGTGCGGTAAGTGAAGCGGCTGCCGGCAACTTTGCTGCAGCTGTCGAAAGCCTAGTGACGGCGATCTCAATGATCAAATCCTCGAAAGTGGCAAACGACGAACGCTGTAAGATTATCATCGCCAGCCTACAAGACACATTACACGGCATTGAGTCGAAGAGCTATGGGTCGTCTTCCTCATCTCGCGGCGAAAAACGCGGTCGGTCTCGTTCGCCGTCGAGGGGGGATTCCCGAGCTGAACGGGAGCGAATGGAACGTCGCGAACGGGAACGAAGGGAAGTCCGAGATTCTCGGGATTCTGGGAGACGCCGAGAACGCTCGCGGTCACGCGAGAGGGATTACGATAGGGAGTACCGCGACAGTGGAAGACAACCTGAGACCAGAGAGCGCGAACGCGACAGGTCCAGGTCAGTGTATGCACTATGGTACTCTAACTTCGATCTTCAAACTTCAAGTCTAATGTTTAAATCAGAATCCACAAGGTGTTGATCCCGTACATATTTATAATAGTTGGGCTCATCGGTCATCAGGTGACCACGAAATTTTCAAGCAAAGCAAAATGTATTACTAACTGAATAATTTTTATTTCTCTTGTGCTTGTTTTTCGGTTTGTTTGTTTTACGCGGTATTTGTTCTACTCTATATTAAATAGGGAACGCGATCGTTATCACGATGACCGGTACTCGTCATCAGGATCCCACCGCGAGAGGGATTACCGGGAGAGGGACCCCGACCGTGAGGAGCAGCGTTACCGAGAAGAACGCGAAAGGGAGAGGGATAGGGAACGGGATTCACGGGGGGGTGGTAGGGAAGAACGTTCAAGGGACGACAGAGAGGATAGGTACCGCGAAAAAGAGCGAAGTAGCCGACATGATGATCGGCGATAAACAAAACCGAAGAAATCGACTTAAACAACTTTAACAACAGCAGTAACACAACAGAAACAGCCAACTCCAGCAGCAGCGGCAGCACCCACATCAGCTACAAAGTTCAACGCCAGCCGGAGTTTTAACCCCTACATCCGCGACAACGACGACGCCGACAGCTACGACATCATCAACTACTACAGTAAGAGTATCTGCAGCAGAAGCTACGACAAAAAAGAAAACGATTTCAGCGTTTACATCAACATTGCAGCAGCAGCAGCAACAACAACAACCACAAGATCGACGACAACTGCATCTTGATTGAGTTCAGCTGATATATTATCATCAATATTCAGAAAAAGGAAACAACTTAAAATAAGGGAAAAACGAACGGTAATAGATTTTGATTGGTTCGCAAAAAACATGTTGTGGGGTAAATCGCTGCCGCCTTCAACCGATGGATGATCAGGTAATTTTGATGGTTTTGCATTACAACGATGACGGTATTCGTGATCAGAGCAGCAGGAGTTTCTGCAGACGACTCTCCATTCGCATGTGGGAGACATATCTTGAAGTGGAGTCTCACCTGACGTACAGAGGAAATTTCCGCGGGTAAAGCTGACCAGCGACTTCAGCATCTGCTTGAGGAAGGATGGCAAATCCTACAGAATTATCTACACTTCAGCAGTAAACAAGGATAAAAAGAACGCTACTGTTGTCGACTGGAAGATTCCGACGTACGATCCTACATACCACAAACACGACATACACCGACTTAACGAATACAAACACGCATATATAAGTATATATATATATATATATATTTAAATATATAGACATACATACACATGAATACATTCAAGAACGCCTAACGCGAAGCGTCTCACATTTGATGTTTATTGCTATTATTAATAACACAAACTATAACTTTACAGATACGAATACTTATGAATAAGAAAGATCAATAACAACAAGCATCATCACCAATGCTAAATATTTCTTGAAATTCAAGTATTAGCGTGCTTGAAGCAACGCCAAAACAAAGCAAAACCATATGGAAAGGCTAAAGGCGAACGGAAACGAGGAATAAAGGCAAAATCTATATTATCGTCCACTGGTGAAATTGTGTTGTTATATGTCAAGCAGGTTATGCCGAAGCGCCTACAGCTTCAGCATGATCGCCAGGCGATTGTTGACGACCTACTGGCGTGGCTGTTTTTGAATAGGCAACGTCAAACTCATCGTCTTGTGTTTATCTACTGCTACTACAGAGTGTTCTCAACGACCACTACCATTAATACGCATTCTACGAGCAGAGAATATTTTTATTGTTATCTACAATTAACGAGTAATTTGGCTGACCTACTAACTATTGTGCCAACCCAAGAAGATCTACGCGCCAAGTCCTTCACACCAACGCAGTTCTTCTCTTCTAGGATGAAAACTAACCTGTGGGACGTTACTTCTATATGCTGTACTATGTTGTGTTTTTTTATCTGATTGAAATTCTGCAAACGTCTGTTTCATAACTGACCAACAATAAGCACACGTAGCTTTGGGAGAAATGCTAGTATAAGGACAGACTATCTTTTTTCTTTCGTTGCGACGTTTTTAGTAATTCGGCTTTGGTTTAATTTTTCATTATTTTGATATGCATGTGTTGAATCGACTGTATGATAGAAAAGTGTACACGCGCAAAATTTGAAAAGTTAATTACGTATATTTGGAACATTGTTCTTGCTAATTCGTCGAGGTAGCAGTCATGGCGAAGCGAATAACCATTTGAATATTTATAGGCACATATTACAGAAGTTGTGTACGAAAGGATGTAGGAAAGTTTAGCTTGCGAGTGTAGCCATCCTACAGTCGTCTGTTTCATTTTGAAAACAGAGCAAGTAAAAATGAAAAGCAAGTGAAAAAAACTTAAATGAGATCTAAGTGTATTCTAAATGATACCTCGCATGACGATTACTTAACGCAAAATTTGTTAAGAAAGCGGTATCATTGTCAACAGGGTAGCAGAGGTCTAGAAGCCTCGGAATGAATTATGAGTCAGAGAGCACAACAATGTAAGTATCATAAAACAGCACCAATATCCTATGTAGGGTGTGACATAGCAGTTGGCATTGCTAACTCGACAAGCGTGTGTTACTGTGGTGCCTTTAGTCAGGCAAAAACCGAGGACAATGCCGCTTGTATCTGGAATCTGTAAAGAAGCGGCTGTACTTCAGATGACATCATAAGCATGATATGTACATATTTTGTGCTTCATAAGTTAGTTTAATTTGTCTATTTATACCCCACAGACATTTCCTAGATAGATAGTAGCCAATTTATCTTGTAAATTACGTAGTTAGTATGAGCTACAGCAGGAATGGTAGCTCGAAGATAAAAAAGCTCAACATCATATTATGTCTATGTAGTAGAATACAATATTAACAACAAAGTCTTCAGTTACAATCTGTTACTTTGAAGCGATCAAACACATAGCATTCCTGGTCAGTTGATAATTAGAATACTGTACTCCGCGTTGAAAATACGTAGACAAACAGTATTTGAATTATCGCCGACTATCAATTCCTATGAAGTACCTCAACTGTAAAATAGGTATAAGCTAATAATTTATGTAGATTATTATTCATATTATGTATGACTATATATAAGTGTTTGTACGTTGCCGGCTAAAAACTGAGATTTTCACACGGACCGGGAAAAAATTTTGCTCATTATGGCCATGAAGTTGCCTTATCTTTGTTGAAAAATGAGCTATTGTGAACATCACGCCATTTTGTAATGGCAAGTTTTGAGTAGATTGGAAAAATAAGTTGGATATCCGATTCTCTCAGTTTTCAGCCGACCACGCTTAGGATTCGCATTTCTTTGTTTAGGATTTCGCCTTCATATTTCTTTGTTTACTTTTTTGATGCTTTTGGATATTTATTGCAGCGAGAAATTATGAATAGCCAGTACTTAAGATGTGGGAAACGATCACAGATCTCTGGTTGTTGAGCACTATTTGCTGGCACCTTTTAGGCGAAGTCCCTTGGAGTAATTTCTACACGAAGTTGTATGTCGTTAGGCCGCGCATCATTTGTTATACGTGCCGTATTCGACACGTAATAACATATATTGACTGTATTCTTTGTTTTTCATCATTTTATTGTGCCAAGCAAATTTGTTCTAGCCAAATTGTATACATATATACCCTTGGAGATAATTGGGTATTCATTCAGAGACCATAAATGAATAGTCACGGTATCCCAGGTATGCAATGACTTATCTAAATGTACATATGACGACTTCGATGTAACATTTGATTTACCTGCGTGACCTTTACGCAGTTAAACGAGTGTGCCACCGCTCTTAATGAGTAAATGTGACATTGCCAAGATGGCTTATAGGATTGACCTCTGTATTAAAAGAAAGATCAGAAGTTCGGGGGCTAAATAGCCATTCAGCCACAAGTTTCACTTTCGGCCTACTCACTCATTAAGCTCATTAAGTAATCTTGATGGTATCAAATAATAATGATTAAAAAGAAAATCTGCTTTCATTGGCAGTTAATTAGTAGCGACCCTGTATGATGCAACGCGCGGTACGCAAAAGCAAGTGTACATAGTAATTATAACAAATACAGGTGAGCGGGGTTTGCCATTTCTTATACACTGCTGATAAAAAGAAACGTCAACGGCCCGATATTGCTTCTCTCGAAAGTGTATCCGGGATGATCTCAAAATGATATCGCTGTTAATAACAAAGGGTATTGTCGGTTAATGACAGAAGGACAACGGATGTGGTTCTGCTATCTGAATGCTTTCCGGAAAGCCATCAGAGAATATGGGTGAAAAAGTGCGCTAGAGTTGGAGGATACGAATGGAAACTATATAAGGCTTTGATGATTAGTTCTGGTTCACAATATAGCGTGAAATAGCGTGAACACAATATAGTAAAGTCTTTCTGTCAACGACATTCTTTGGTTTCCAAAGAGGCAAAAGCACAAAAAAGGGTCAACACAACAAGACAACTGTATCATCCAATGACGTGCTGTGATATTGCAATAATAAATATTGCCAAGTGTCACTTTGATTTATACCTTTACGTAAAAAGGGTACGAGCTGTCTGATAGGTGCTCTTCCAGCAGAACGTTTTGATGATAAAAGCTAATCAAATTTAGGCAGAAAAATTCCATCACTATGATCGACTGTGGCTTACGAGTAATCAGAATAACTATATTCGAGATCACAGGATGAATTCTCACCGTATAAAGTAGGTATACACCATAGCATATTGTAGCTGATTATAGCAACTATTTATCTTCGGAAATGTTATAGGTACTAATGAGTTTGATGCTTCGAAACTGAAGTTGTAAGTAGCAATAGTCGCAGCTGGAAGCAGGCTTGCTTTTCATCCAAATATTAATGTTATTAATCTATGAAGCTAACTTCATAATTTCAGGATCTGGTGAACAGCTTCCATGACGTCCGGAGTCCACTTAATGTCTTCCATTAGCTGGCTTTTATCAAAATGATCTGGTCAAAAGGGAATCGCCATCTCGTCTCCAATTCGAATCTCGAAATTCATATGTTGAAGTTCCTATGATATGGATTTCGAGCTTGCCTCTAAAATTAATGCAGTTATATTTGACTAAACCCATGTCGAGTTAACTCGTATGGCACTGCTTCGAAGGGTGCGCCTGATGTAGAAGTTGTAGCCAAAAAAGATGTCCAAAAATGTGTTAGAAATCAATTATATTAGGAAGAATTTACCAATTCAAAATTCGCTCACATATGAAGGATGAGCGCATTAAAATCCTAATGCAATTGACTTGTTATTTTTTCGCACTTCACTTCATCAAGCAGATTTCACTGTGGCTACCTTTACAAAACTCCCACATTTAATGATTTACTGTTACTGCTTAATACTTTTGGTGAACCCAAGCTTTTTAATTCTGTTACGCAAATAGGGACACTGTAAATCATTTTAAAAAACTGGATGACCTGATAACGTTTTCTCAATAATGTTTTTATAGATAATTAGATACAAGAATTCATTGCTGAACAAGATTGTGTAGACTACTGAGGTGATAAATCAAGGGTTAAGAATGCAGCCTCAGGGCCATAAGTAGTTACATATAGACTGATATTTTTTATTTTAAACGAAAAATCTATGAAAGTCAAACTAAGGTCAAATAACATAGTATACAATATACGTTGTTTAATTATCACATAGGAACATTTTGTGCAGGCAGCCAAGTGCTTCTAATAGAGTGGGAATCTTACAAGTTGTGGCCATTTTCAGTAAGGTTTAAAAATGAAGGCTATAAGTTTAGCGGTGTCTATAAACTGATTTTCGAGGACGATTTCTTTATGCTGATTCAACAGTGGAAGTGTTGTAAATAGTATGTTTACGATGGGATGGTGACTGACAATGAAGAAATACAAGACAATTTGTGGTAGTTTCTTCCATCTAACGCTGCTTCAGACGTAGGACGTTTAAGAGCATCGCGTATGTTGTATACACAAGAAGTACATAGACTCTTAGCTTCAGGTCAATTGCTGCTGAGTACACCAAAGGCCTTAGGAAATTCCAATGCTTGAGATAATCCCAGGCATATCACTTTACTGGTGTCACGTCTCTTGTCGAAGACCGCGTACAATTGAAGTTCAAAGCGGAGCGCAGGATACTGGACAACTACAACAATTTTGTAAAATAAATAAATTGAAATTATCGTATTGGCGTTGTAAATCATCAATAATTATTTACTCTGAACCAAACAGTTACAAGAGAGACACCAATGTTAGTCCACAACACAAAAACGATCAATAAGAATATTTATTGGAGGTTCTTAAGAAACTAAAACATAACTAGAGTTTCGGTGGTAAAATCTCTGTGATTTTCATCAAGGTATAAAGATGAACTGAGACGTGTGAATTTTGATATTTTTTTGAATGCAAACTACATTATGTGCATTGAGACTGCAATGATTTTTAGGTAAGTTGACACCTTTGTAAAAATTCACGTGAAAAACCACCCCTACTACGGTGTTGGAGTATATGTTGTATCACAATTCGTACTGCGTAGTGCCCTAATGGATTTTTCACTTAACTCACTTATTACTGTTCAAGCGACTTTACCAAGGTAAATTTAAAGCGCTGGTGGGCTGCTAATTGTACATAATATATTCCCGTGATAATTTCAGGAGTTCGACGTGGGTGATCAAACGGTTGTCCATGCTGTCAAGCATCATAAATCACCAACAGCGAGTCGACAGACTTCCATAAGCATTCCTGAATTTAGTGCCGAAACGACCTGTCCCCTGTCCAACTCTATTATAAAGTTGCAGCTTACGGACAAGGATCGGAAGAGTCTGGGCACTACTGTTGGTAAATACTGGGTATCTGTAATTTCACAACCTTATGGGCGACTAGACCAAGTTCGACGGTTCTGACAATTATCTTTTATTCAATTCTTTTTCTTTATAAATACATATAAAAATATAATATTTTGCACTCGTATTTTGAAACCTGAAGTTCAGAGAAAATTGCGATAAAAGTTTTTAAGAGAAGTCTAATTTTTACTTGAAGGAACGCCTGCAGGTTACGCTTTTAATTTAGGATTCACATCGATGTAATATGTTTTCTTAGTTTTTTTCTTTCTTGTTTTAAAATAGATATCACAATCTATATGTTTTTATTTATTATGTTATTTCAAAAAAGAAAGCCAAATAATTACACACATGTACAGCTTTCAAAACATTAAAATTTGGTGTCTCGTAGGGTTGCGAAATGCTGCAGTCTTTTTTTAAAAGGCTACCTGAGAACAACAAAAAATAGATTTTGAGATTGTCGTATCTATCTTTCATTTTACCTTCCTCCAAAGAAACGGTCCCGTATTAATAGAGCTCAACTGATTGTTTGCAAGTGAATCGCCACACTAGTTGTGTGTTAAGACCGACCATTAATTTAGAAAGATTTTCTTAGCAAGCGCAGCTGTAGCTTAGGAACTTTTTTCTTTTTGGGGTCATCCGTTTTATTTCATTTGACTTGCAAAAACGGGCCTGCAACCAAACGATGGCTACGTGTATTCAAATACGCTGTTTTACGTATACAATAGCCCCACGTCACAGAATTACTCCGCACTCACAAATCGTAGATTGAAAAACTAAGTTTACTGATTTTTTAAACCCGAGCCCTGGAGTCCGAGCCTCATTGTTCCAGAATAATAGTTTTAAGTTGAGACTAACAGTGAAAAAACTGTTATCAGGCAAAATGTCTTAGTAAATTATGAGTAGCCGCACCTTGCACGATTTGGCTTATTAATTTAAGCCTTGTGATGCAGCACATTAATTTTAAAGAAAAGATGATCTTATAAACAAAGCAAGATCTCCTACTGAATTAGATAATTCAGGATATATCAAGTACGTATCGAACGCCTTGACTGAGGCCTTCTAGTTTGCAACATGTCTAATTTGGTCTTCCTCATACTATATAGATGTTCAACGCATCCACTTCTTCGTCTATTGTATGCAACCATGCGCTCAGTTGTGTCCGGGGAAGTTACGAGTCCGGTGTGCCACGTGTCAACAGGGAACACTCCTGCTTCTACAAGACCCATCATGCTGGGACGATGTCCTGGTTAAAGGACGAATCAATGGCACGTAAGTAGAATTAGCTTTGTTTACTTTGCGAACAATAACCCAAGTACAGTCTACATCAGGATGACTGGTGGTTGTTCATACTACCGTGAATTAAATGAAACAAATAATGTCTGCGTAGATTTAAGTGGAGTACACTGTCGTAAAAGAACCATGCATATGGAAAAAAAAAGCACGAGTTCAATGTGGGTTTGTTTGTTTTTGGAATTGGATTCATAAAACAGCTGCCAAAACGAGGGGTGCTCAGGACGAGAAGCGGAGTTCTTTTTTAAATGTTCTGCTCACACACCGAACCCAGAAACCGCGGCACCGTTAGAACACGTAAAGAATAATTTCCAAGAGGTTCCTTGTATTGCGTGTCAGGATGTCAGGTGGGTTTCTGATTTTTATCTGTTTAGAACATTCAGGTGTATGAGTTTTTCATAAAATCTGGTCTATATCGGGCAGATAGCCAATTTAAACTGTATCTGACTTATTCTCCGTCGATTAGTAGTAGAGTAACACGAACAATTGCTAATTATTTGTTTCACCGTAACTAAACAAACGAGAGTGTTAAGCAATTAACGTTAAGTATGACATTGAATAAGTTTTTCCTCTATAATCGATAGGTTAGTGAGAACGCGCTAATTGTAGGAACACGTAGCGGGCACACCTAGGTTCAAATCTGGGCGTGGACGCAGTCGTATATGCTCGGACTCAGTGATATAATGTCTCACGGCAGTTCCGAACGAAAAACTCGAAACATTTAGCCAGGTCTTAAGATCTTAAGTCAAGTAAACGCGTGTTTAGCCTGTTTTTGAATTTCGTTCGCTGCGTTCAGTTCATGAAGTTTATTAATGTTAATACGTATGATACCTGAAAACTTCATTCTACTCCTTCTTTTGTCGCTCTTTTGGTGCTCTCCTAACGTTTAGCCTTTCAACTTTTTTTTATAGTCAAATTGTCGTGGTATTTCCGTGTGAGTCATCACATGTCATATGTGTTGAATGCTTTGTAAACTATTGTACGTCACGTCTTAACGAACGTAAATTCGTTCAGACTGAGGAACTGGGATATACCATTGCCTGTCCAGTAAATTGCCGCAATTCATTCATAAAAGATCCGCACCACTTCCGTATTCTCGGTGCCCAACAATATGACAGGTAAGTTTGTGTTTTGAACTGAAAAACAAGAGTTTATAGTACTGTACTACTGTGTAGTGATCTAATAACCGCACACAGTAGAACCTTTTTGTGTTTCAACACACATTTTTTTGGCTAATCTCTTTGAGTTAAGTCATTTTAGACTGCCTTGTATGTAAGTAAAATAAGAGGGCTTCCTATAGTATATTTTTTAGTACTTTTTAATTTAAATGTGTCAAGACGCTCCATCACTTCTTCATACTTATATAGCGGTCAGTTTATGGGTACGCAAATTCACTTTGTACGAACATCCTTTCCTAATAATATAACAGTGCATATCTTACACTGAGAGAAAAAATACTGATCATTTTTTTAGTTCTTTTTTAGCTGGCTTTAAAGTTACATATCTTATGTAGTGTGAATCACGTTGCATTGCTGTCACTTGAAAGCTGAGGCTTGAGAGCAGTAGATATGCTAAATTTGTTGGAATGCCTTTTTATCAGACTTTAGCTTAAGTTAAGCACTTTGAAAATTCGTGAAATTTTTGCGAAAATTTGTTTTACTACACAATGTTCTCACAATAAAAAAGGAAATGCACCTAGGCCGATAAAATTCTATGCTGTGCTTGTCAAGACGCGTTATCGATAGAAACGGCTCAAAGATGGTCTTGTCGCTTTCTCTCTAAAAATATCAGTGTAAAATACGCTCCTCGAAATAGTCAACCAATTACAAAATAAATTGCCGCAATTATTGCGAGTGTTAAGCAAGACCATCACGTGAGTAGCCAAAATAGTGTAGTCTACCACCACTAAACAGCTTTTATTTAAACAACAATTTAAAAAAGTTAGCTACAAAAAGGTCAGTGTTTGAATTGATTATAGGTAATGCAAAATTGATCACATACGATAACAATGCGCAAATAAAAAAGTGTTCCACAATCTGTGGTGAAATCCGGACTAATGCGAAAGCCTGTTTTGAGGTACCAGAAAGGCCGAAATATATGCGGTGTAAAAGAAAAACCTATTGTTGCCTGTCATTGCTCGCTCATGGTTTGCCCACTCACGTTTACAGATTGGTCGCTTGCATAATTTACTGAACAAATTTGAAGCGTGTATTCAAAGAGTATTTTCCAATTGTTGGGTACTTTTTAGGTACCAACGGTTTGCGACGGAAGACTTCATTTTGAAGGCAGGTGGAATATTCTGTCCTTGGCCTGGATGCGGTGCTGGCATTCTTCTTGACGAAACAATGTCGCGTTGCAACAAAATCACTTGCTCTCGTATCGAAGGACAAGGCTGTGGAGTAGGTGTATTCTTCAACAAAACTTTCGACCAAAATACGCACACTCTAATTTATCTGCTTTGTAGATATTCGTTAAGCAAACACGTAATTAAGATCATTATCTAATGAAAATCTTTGCTCAAACTTTTCTGATCTAGCTAAAGCTGCTATAAGTTTTATGTTCTTTAGTTTGTGTTCTGCCGAGACTGTCTTCAAGGAGCCCATATAGGGCCATGTCAGGAAGAAGATTTAGCGGAAAAGGATTTAACATTAGCAATACAACGCGAGGCTGGTCCCGGTGGCAGTGAAAGTATATTTCGGGTAGATGAGGAAAGGGCAAACCGTTCGCGTTGGGACAAATCATCTCGCTTAACAATTAAGGGCACTACGAAGCCATGTCCAAAGTGCAGGACTCCCACGGAACGGTCCGGTAAGGACAACGTGTTTTGGTTTCATTTAAGTAATGGCTCATATATATGTATATGTATATGATACTCATATATAGATATGAAACTCAGGTGCTGACATTTTTTAAGTTTTTAAGTTGATCATTATCAACATTAATCTTTATCTAACCATCATCTTGAGCTCTCAGACAGCACATTCTGGCAATAGTCATGCCAGAACCTACTTCTGGAAACGCCTTCTCATTTTCCCACACGTTTCTTGTTAACTAAATTCGTCCGATTTAACAGCGATCATTTTTCCTATACTGCAGGAGGCTGTATGCATATGCAGTGTGGTCGATGCGATTTGGAGTGGTGTTGGATCTGTCAGACCGAATGGACCCGAGATTGCCAGGGAGCGCACTGGTTTGGTTGAGTGCTTAAATGACACTAAACCTATTACATTTTTTGGAGATTGGGCCGTCTATTAAAGAATATTGGTACTCCAAAAAAAATTTGATATTTTGGCGACTTTCATTTTATTGGATTCAGGGTACCAATAACCTCTTCAAGTGAAAGAGTCTTAAGCAGTGTCTATTCTATAAACAGAGGTTGTAAAACATGCAAAAGTCAGTATTGTCCCAGCATAGCTTGTTTTACGCATTCAATGATGTTGTTAGTAATTATGAGAGCAAAAGAATAAAACGGAAGTACAAACCTGTAGTATAGAATACTCTCATATTATGGATAATGTGAAGAATTGAACGAAAGTCCTTTTTTTTATTACTTATGCTATCTTTAATTACTATGTTAACTCATTGAATTAATTTTAGGCATATAATAATAATCTTTTACTTGTAATAAAGTGTTGCGCACAATACCCGACCTCTTCTTTCACGCACGTATAGTTAAATTTATTCGAGAAAGTTTAAACATCAAAACAAACGAGTTCACTGTCCAAATGTTAAGATAGTCAATTTATTAGTATCATTATTACTATTATGTATTAATGTATTGGTATAATCATCACTTGTTGCATATTTATTTACTATTGTCATTTATTAGGTTTTGGCTGGTTATTATAACTGCCAGGTATGCATGTTGAATGTAAATATGTTAAAGGCAAAGAGCCGTAGAAATGCTGCACTGTGATCTTTAGTAAGGTGGATAAAAACTGTGACGTCAGACAATTTTCAACTCATTATTTAGCTAGCGGGTGCGCCTGACGGTTACTGTGAAAAATAAGTAACCAAATGCAGGGGATCACCGCTTAGTAACGGTCAGCAGGCCACACAGACATTCTTCATATATTTAAGCGATATGTCATTTACCGCGGTATGTCGTTCGTTCATTGCCATATGGTAGCAGTGCCAAACAAAACTTCTCTCCATCTCGTAGAATCACTCCATTGACAGCGTGGTGCAATATATGGTGCAATATGGTGCAAAGAGATATATTCGCTGTCAGTTAAGTAGTTGGACGTAATTTGACAGCTTGCAGATGTACACGCTTAGATTGAATTAACTACTTGATACCGCTATGGTTGCTCTGTGGTCGTGAATAACGCAGAGATCTAACGCAGCTTCGGATAGACTACTAAAGAACAAGAAACTATCGTTGTCACTATCTGTTTTAGGTTAAAAACTTATCGCTACCTGGTATAAATAAAGCTTAATCCTCATTTAAATACATAATAAATAGCTCAATTAGTTTCATTATTCATCTGGCTTCTCTGTTCGGAAGCAAGCATCGCGCAAGACGCTTATGCTAGTCGTGTTCTCTTTGAACAGCTTTATTTAATTTTATGTATGTTATGTATTTCTTATACATAAATGTAGGCGGTACATGAATATACATGCATCAGATTACGTCTTTACATAGCAAGATGGAATCGTACTCATTAATAGATGAAATAGGATTGGAACGAGCTAAGAAGAAAGCTCCATGTATTTCTCTTTTTCCTACGACGTTTTCATAGCATCAAATAGATCTTGCTCACTACTTAGTTATTTTATACTTTGGTTTTAATATATATATGTGTAATTATCCGTTTAGTTTCTTGCGGGCGGTTATGTCCACTTACTGAGGTGTTTGGCAGAGACGAAACTTAATCATCCAATTTTACAGTATGGACAGAAAAAAAACGAAAGCAATTCTGATAAAGTAAAATATATTTGAGAAAATTATAATAGGTCAGCTTTGTATGGCGGAGGAAGGAAGTACACAAGGAGATAGAAGAATCAGGAACACCTATATTTAAGTGCGTTATATATATAAATATAGAAACAAGTTGAGCTAGATTAGGTACGATGACTAACTGACCTAGCGTCTGCTATCGTAACATCGCTAAAACCAATGAAATAGTTACCTCACAACGCAGCTCTTACTTGAGATGATGATACAGTCACCAGTTAGATGCGTATATGTACGATCACCAGAGCAATGATTTGCGTGCAAGGAAGGACCGAAATTTCGATCCTAAAATGATTAAATGATAGTTGTAATGCAACTTAATTAAAATCTAAGAGTTTACCACTACCTAAAAACAATGAGTATGTAGTGAATAGGTAGTTTTCATCGGAATTTTGTTGGGCGAGAGCCCAACATGCACAATAAATGCAAACGATTTTATGAAGGACTGTTCCATAGGATTTTGTGAATTCTGTTGTAAGCATCAAGCAAGCATGGGCTTGTTTTTAGTCGATCTTGTAACCGTCGGAGAGCTAGCAAAAAATTTGTAGGCGCTGTTCCATCAGGTATAACAGCTACATATGCCCGTCAGTATATCATGCTAAATGATCGAAAAATTATGTTCGCAGAGGAACTTCTAGATGGGTAATTTAATTTGTTTGCCACGAGCAGTCGAAACGCTAAGCGGCACATCACGCTGAACACTCAAACTTAACTCTAATTCACCTTAGAGACAAAATAGCCATCTAAATAACTTTCGTTATTTACACAAATTGTTTGCTGTTTATGTCTCGTTAATGGAACTCAAAATAGCGTCACTTCGTTTCTTTCAACCAGCGACTTGGCTACCAAGGGGCCGCGTCGATAAAATAACCGTTCTTCTAATGGTACAGTGGTCTACAATCGAGCATACGTGTGCAACATAACGGATGACAATCTTTAAGGAAAAGCAGATTCTAAGTTAAGCAATTCGATGACAACCATATTTAGGCGACTCGTTATCATTCGGTATCCCGGACGAGAAGTGTATTATTTGATATCCTTAACATACTTCGAAACGGGACGTGGATGCAATATCATTGCAATGGCCCAGACGTAAGATATCGTACAAAGATGAGGGAGAACATGATCACAGTGAAGTGTGTGAAGGATTGCTCATATATATAAATCTAAATTTGTCACACCTTAGTTAAGCGGATGATTCATTGATACTGTGCAGCTTTTTCGACACAGCCTCTAAGACGTCTTGACGCAGGCGTCTAGCTTTATTTTAAAGTAAGTAAAACGTAATTAATACTTATTCGTCGTTACAATAATGAATGCTGCCCGACACACGTAGATTTATGTGCGATTTGAAGCCTGTTTTCGTCCAACAAAGACATCATTTATCTGTGAATGCTGGGCCTCCTCTAGTCGTCTATGTTGACTATGCCAAATGAGTTAGTTAAACTGAGCCCACGCCTATATGAGTTGATAGCTGCTGAAATCCTTAGAACGCAAATTCAGTTCGAAGTAAAAGTACCGCTTATTCGAGACGTACCATTACATCGTAGGAAGGTACGTAGTGGAGTTGGCAATGGTAACTTGCTAATTTTGTTGCAACTTTTACAGAAGTTCATTCATGCAAGCTGTGCATTTCGCACAAAGACACAGAATGTTGATCATGTTTTCGTTCACTATTTGAAACACCCTCGTTCGCGCGCTTCCCTATTCTACTGTAAATTATTTCTACTGGGAATCTAACACAAATGTACACTGCTACGATTAGCCTAGAAGAATCTCGTTACGAACAAGGATTGCCTTTATTAAGCATACATTACATATCAGGGAATAATAATAATGAGGCGGAAGTAAATAGAGAAATTGTACAGTTTAATCAGTTAACCAGCTGCGCTCCGGTTCAAGAGGGTGATGTGTCTGCGTAAATTTGTATGATATATAACTTATTTTGAATCGAATTCACAAATAGTTTATTTCTTCCACTAACCTGTTGTTGCCGATTCCATTGTAGGACAATATGTACTAATGATAATGACGTGTAAAGTCAGTAATGGTAATAACGATGACGGCAACAACGTTGTAATAATTTAATAATGGCGCGATATTTAAACGGTCTCGCTTGGACTTTTATCACGTATACGTTGATAAACTAACAGTAATTGCTGTCATCTTAATGGTTGTGGATTCTCTATGATCGTCATACCTGCAAATCAAGGAGGCTTGATGTGAATATTCTTTCTTATCGCTCGTAGCGTGTCGTTCGAAAAAGGTTATTGATATTCTCTTATTTTGACAATCGTTTAGGTCGTAGTCATCGAAATGATTCATGCCGCCGGCAAGGCGAAAATCATGTTGCTGCTCACTCCGATTTTTGCCATCTGCTGCTTCGGCTTGACAATAGGACAGCCAAGCCAATGTGCACTCCATCATCCATCCTTGGCGGTGATCAATTGTAGTTGACAATCGTAAATATTGTTTTCCGACTTTCACGATTCAGCGGCAATTTAGCGGCACGGACGTTTCCTTCTCCTTCCAATGTCTCTTACTCCAAATACAGTTGGCTGCTGATTGTGACTATTTACATAGCCTTAAATGTTCTAAGCCTGGGATCTTTCGATTACAGTAGTAGTAATGACAATCTTGGTAGTAGTTCGTTGTAAATGTATATTATGGTTGTACCAGCGAGAAGAGCTAGGTTCATGCGGTTTGCTATTAAAAAATTGTTAGAATTTTTTGATTTGTTACAAATATAAAAATTTCCTTGTTTGCGTTACTGACACAAGAGGAAGGTCTTGCAGAACACTGGATTTAGGTAGCAATATATGGTCACTCGGTTAAAACTAATGCGTTCCTTGTATATCTGATGCGTAATGGAAGTGCTGACGGCTCCACTTATTGTCCCGTGGCGTCGCTGGTTTGGGCCACAGAAAAACAACCAAGTTGAAGAGCATTGTTGGCTTTTTCGTTTCATCATATAAAAGTACGGATTGTGACGTATAGTGGCCGAGTGCACTATCTAGATTGCTTGTTGGGTTAGTTGAAGCGTATGCGAGGCAGCTTCTTAACGCTGAGCTCCTCGGGACCAATCTGCGTGTCGTAACCGTGTTGACCATGACGCCGACCTTCCTGCTCCCTGCATGCCGTAACTTTCATGTCAAATATCGGTGGCACGCAATTCGATCCAACAGGAAGTTCTGCTCGATCGAAGCCGTGATATGCTTAGTTTTTTTTTCGTTTTTTTTCTTGTCTCTTTAACTCACTATCCATGGCCCAGCAGATCTCTGTCTGGGAGCCCAGGGAGTGTGGAACATCTTATATTGACCTTTATCATCTCATCGCTTAAACGCTGATGGGCCATCCACAGGCCGATATGCCTTATGATTTCCTCTGCCTTTTACATCTTGCGTCGCTTCTGATGTTTTACAAACTCTTGGGCGTCCCTGTCCCATTGGCGGGCCTCAAGTGCGCCGAGGATTTCGTCTGCAACCATTGAATGACGACTGCGTCAGTTTCTATGTAAAATTTAAGGCGCCATACTACGAAGGCGCATTAAAATTTAGCCCGCCTTTCCATCCTAAAAAAAGTGCAAAAATGCATCTGCCACAATTTGCGACAAACGGGATTATTTTAAATATGGTCATTAATAATAAATGAGACGACCATGATACGGATACATATTTAGAACTTGAGCTATAGAAATTATATATCGCACGTGATGTGCCGAGCGCTATGGTGCGATAGGTATGCCCAGAATGGTTGTTGCAACTTACTTTTCTCCTTGGGTTGAAGAAGTGGTAAGTCCATAGGGGTGATGTTCCGGATGTTCTCGCCACCATTAACTCCCGGAATCTAACGGAGTAAGTGGATTCCTTCATTAGCTATTTATTGTCAGGAGACGAGCAACTGGCAGTATAATCAGAAACCTAAAAGCTATTCGCATTATGAGCTCAAGCTGTTCTGCACTGTTTAGTGTGGATTAATTGCCCGTCTTTCGTACAAATTCTATCACCCTATAATCATCTAACTAGAGAAACCTGAGTAAGGGGTAGAAAGGCTTCTCCTTCGAAGTCGTTGCGTGTCATCATGTCGTGATCCATGACAGTAAAGCACATAAGGGCCACTTCTTGTCGGCATTTGTCTACCGTTACCGAGCTTTAAATTATTGCGGACGAAATGAGTAAAAAAGAAAACAGAATATGTATTCCAGTTAGGATGCAGGAGTACATAATTTCAGCTTAACGTCTATTTTCACAATTACGTCGAAGTATATAGCTCCGTCCTTTCTTTAAATTTAAACTACTTAATACGTAGATACTACGTTCACAAAATCTGCAACGTGGCATTCGCTAGCGGTGACTACAAGTAGTACAATGTAGCTTGGTTTCCACGAATATCTTTCCCTTAGGTTTGATTCGATTTACGAGGATGATGTCAGTAGACGAGCAGTTCCACTGCTTCTCTTCATTAGTAAATAGAACATATTTTCTACAATTGGCGCTTGTTGTTCAGTAAATGCACCAAGTTATTTTTCTAAATATAACTGAATTCAAACAACCTTATTCGCGTTTACCATATACGTACAATTCAAACGTTTCATCAAATATAGGATAGAGAGTCCGCTTTTGCACTCGTGTACGATGTTGTGGGCAATTCGGGAAGAGGTGGCGGGGCTGCAGTTCGACAAGCACAAATGGATCCGAGTACCCGTTCGGGTCCAATGGTAACAGATCACGCGCGTTCATTACTGTTGTTCGACCATAAGAAGGAAGCACAGATGAGCAGTTATAAACAGACTCATTAGCTTTATGGGTCACGCATTTCTGAAGTGAACTCCTAAACCTCTTTGAAGTACTTCACATAAAATTTGAACGGAATCGGTTAGTTGACAATGTAGTCTTTTTATTCATACTAGGATACATTTTTTCTGTGCAAATATATCATGTGCAGATACTGTCTCATATTATGGGATATACTGTGGTTTCAGAAGTGTATTAATTATTGTTTTAATTTAATTGTATGAACGCTTTTTGGTATATTCCAGAAAACAAAGCTATACAACTTCTTATAAAAAGTTCAGTTTATAAAAGTACAGTGGGTGAACAATGTCGGTGTGCAACTGCCATACTACAGACATTATCTGTTGCAATGAATAACTATTCTACAGGTAACATTGTACGACATTTACTCATGCGTAAGATACCTTCCTAAGATAAAAATGCTAGAGACTAACCATCAACAGTGAGACAATCGCCAGAGGCATTATAAAACGTCTTTACTGTGAGGTACCCGTACGGGTTGATACTCGCTTGACCACCAAAACTAGCGCTTTGATTTTGGCGCCGTTGTTCTTCTAGCCGCTGTAGGCAATACATCTCGATAAGGTATTGTGTGTCAGCCTTATGCAGCTTCAGTAGGCGATCGAGGTCCTAGAAAAACAAGTCAATATTCAAGTATGCATACAAGTACTGCCCAATAAATGTAACTAGTTTAACTTTGAAGACAAATATGGAAAGGAATGTATTATCAGATGGTGTAAACCATAGGTCTGATAAAAATGGTCCATCCTTTGGATGAGCAGTCAAGTGAAATTACGAACCTCTAGGGCCTTCGATAAGCGTCGGTATTTACACGTATTACTTAGGGTCGTTTCGGAGAGCAGTAAATAAAATAAGCCCGTCTTTTAAGTGATTGTGTTTTCCCTATCTTTATTATAAATATCTATATAGTCCGAGTCGCTGAATTCTGAGGATTCTTAGCTGTACTATATATATATATATATTTAGGGGTACACTATTGTGATGACGATATTGTGAAAAGAATTGTGTACTATTTGTATATACCGTTTTATCATACCGAGGTCTTGCATAAACGAGTTTGAAGAAATATACTTTGTGACACCCACGTCTTCACCAATAAGCAAGCTCATTCATGAATCGTTTAGAAATTTCAAATATTTTTTCAGATATGTCAGTCTGTCGAACGACTTTTCTCACAAGGGCACATTGAATATGAGAACTCCGAAAAACGGAGAGATTCCTAGCAGCCCGTGTTTCAAAAATACCTTTATTTCACTTAGGTGCTCAAAAACAGTTGAGAGCAGACTGACTTTGTTAAATAAGCATATACGCCTATCATAGACGATTACTACGCATCATGAGCATTTGCTCTTCTTAGGTATTTGTTAACAAACACACCCGTGCAATTAGGTAACACAAGGCAGTACGCGCTTTATAGTAATATCTACAATGAACACGTGTTACGTAATAACACTGTACATACATATATACATATCGAACATTTATTCGATGAAACGAGCTTTCTAGTCATATTTAGCGCACTGAGAAAGCGTTGAAAATTAAAGAACTGCTACAACGGTGTGGGTAATGTCAACTGTTACTAAGGCCGATTCGGGCCATTGCAATCAATTTGTCAATTAGTTTTTTGAAGGGTTAACTATGTTCTTTCATTTCAGCTTTAACTTAAATTAACCTCTCCCACCTCATTTAACCTCTTTAGATCATCACCACCATGCTGTGCTCATTTATGTAAACAATAATCGGAACACGAACGAGTGAGCGGTCCGGTGTGTCTGATCGGTGAGACAAATCTTCAAAAACATAAATGTATATATAGTAGAGTACTTTGAATAGAGTCAATATAATCACGTATAAGCGGTTTTTACTCGTGAACTTGATTGTTTCTTGGGTGGGTCCACCTGGGCTACATAGCTTGTAAGCTGACTATTGTTAGTATTATTATAATTATCATTACTATTATTATAAGCGTTAATCTGAAGACTAGAACGTGCGCTCGCATAAGCACTCAATCTTAGAGTGGATCGTGCGCTAGATACTTTCGGCTTTAACAAGTCGTTTATCTGCGAATTATATTCTAGTTCTTCAGTACTGAAGTTAAATAGTTCGGGAAGCGGCTCCGCATTAGGTAAGCAGCACTCTGGCAACCGTAGCTCGTCAAAAAATGAGTCTGCTAAGGAATCCCACGCTGTTGGCCTGTCACTGGGGGCGTACCTCAACAACTGCAATAGAAACGACCTCGTATTTTTTGACGCCCGGCAATCTAGTACATTGTTCATATCTTTTGCGGTAAGTTGACTGGGTAACTCATTGTCCTTTACGCCAAGTTTGATGAGTTCACGTTTCGTTGGCGATCCTAACGTACGCAAAATTTTTTCGAGTTGGTCGGCCGTATTGTGACCTCGAAACAAGGGCGCTAATCGGATCATCTCACCGAGACAACATCCAATAGACCAAATATCTATCGCACAATTGTAACGCTTATTACCGTAGAGCAGCTCAGGCGCTCGATACCAACGCGAACAGATATAAGCAGTGTTTGGTACACCGTCGGTTAGAAGTTTCGCCGAGCCAAAATCGCACACTTTCAGAAGGCCTTTGGAAAAGTCGACCAGCATGTTCAAGGGCTTAAGGTCACGGTGCGCGATACCCCGGTGGTGCATGAAAGCTAAACCCCGACACACCTGCCACGTAAAGCAACGTATTAAAACTGGTGCAATTGGAACCTGCTGCTTTTTGTGACGAGACACGAGCACGTGCAAACTCTCAGGCATCCATTCCATAAATATCAATTGACGAGTCCGCATTTGACACATACCAACGGTGCAAAAATAACGCAGTTTTACAAGATTTGGATGATTCATAAGTTTCATCATGTTAATTTCTCGCATCTTAGCCCGTTTTCGACTTTTGACCAGTTTCATGGCTAGGATCTCTTCAACAGAATCCGGAGACTCTACTTTGACTTTGAATACCGTTCCGAAGGTGCCTTTGCCACATTGCTGGAGTACTCTATAGCAAAGCCTTATCTGGCAGGTTCCGTTGACGGAGTCCACTGTAGTTTCTTCCCAGTCCTTAGAGTCCTCGCTAGAGCTGCCTGATGTTGTTGTTGCTGTTGTCGTTATCGCTGTGACTGTTTTAGGTCTGGCCTCTGGATCGGATTTTTCGCGGTTGGTTTGACCCCCTTTTTCGGACTCGGACTTTCGCCCTTTGTACCAATTTGTGAGAAACGGCAGAATAGTAACCTCACGCTTTTTACCCATGGGATCATTGGTATTGGATTTTTAAAGACGTCGTTGTCGAGGGATTAAGACGAATCGTGCGGGCATTGCACAATCGATAGTTTAGTTGCGAGCCAAAACAAAACTGCCTCGACGCCAGCTAGACCAAGCATAGCTTATTGTAATATGTGTATAGCAATTTTTCGATTATTCTTTTACCATTGTTGTAGCGAAGCATTGATATTAACGGTTTAGGGGGTGAGCAGACATATATGTATACCTGATAGGCAAGGCTGTGCAGACTCTTCAGTGATAGGCCTTTGTCATCTCCGTGAAAGAATTCGATCAGATGGCCTAACGCTGTGAAGAGCCGTTGAAAGAAATTAGCCTGTTCGCCAACATTGTTTCGAGCTGTTATGGTCAGCTCTTGGAGGACAACCCGCCATACGGCCTCCAATACTCGGTAGAAGTTCACACGCATCAAATTATTGTACAACACCTAACCAAAATAATGGGGCAATTAAGATACGATAGAATATACATTAGATTGTTCTTAAATTTACGTTTATTAAGTTGCTGTTACAATGCTTATTTAAGGAAAATGCCTGTGCAAATTGACATCCTGATTGGACGAGGTAGTCCAATAAAAGCTGTAGGAATAAAGGAATATAGTGCGAAACTAGGAGAAAGTAGCGTCTGACATTAGGAGTGGCCTAAACGTCACAAAGCAGCTATAGGGGTACGTGTGTTATACAAACCTTTAAATTGGTGTCAAGGTAATCTACAAGTGGCGCCAGTGCAGATTTAGTGGCCACCTTTTCCGGCGCCCAGGCAAGATGAAATAAAAATTTTTTCACGTCAGGACGCATCTGTGGAAATGGAAGATAAATCATAGAAACATAGGTACATGACATTACAATGTGGGGCAGCCTTAACGGAGAGTAACGTTTAGAGAATTAGGTCCAACTAGGCTGTAAGGTAAAGCGTTGTTACGATAATAATCATCACCATCATAAAGGCGAAAAACAAATAGATGTTTATGGTACAGAGGCAGCAAAACCAATTTGATCTTTACATTAAAAAAAATATGCTGTAAAACGTCAAAGAATAAGAATAATCATAGAAATCATCAGCATCGTGGCAGCCGTAACATCGTATAACTAGTCCTAACTTTTTCTGTAAGACCAGCGATGATCGTGAGTATCTTGTGTATGACCTCGTCTTCCGCAGTATGCAGCTCTGCGTAGAACGCTGCTCTGCAACGATCGGATGCTAAATCGCTATCGACTTTTTCTACAGCCGCTAAAATTTTGTCGAACTCTAACTCTTCTTGTAGAGGTCGTAGTGCCCGTCTGACGTGCTCAATGTTGTTGATGATAATACACACCTGCAACTCAAAACGATAAGGTATCACTGAACAGCGAAGTTCATTCGAGCCAGACCCAGTGTTACACACCTGCCCGTCAATGGGGACCTTTAGGCAAATACCAGATCTTCGTGTTTTCCCGATCATGTCTTCTTGTAAACTGCTTGGAATCTAAGTTGGCTGCCATTGAACTTCCTTCTACAAATAAACTGACATTGTTAATCAGGGCAATGATTTTCGAAGTTGTCAAGACTCTAGCTTAAGGGACGTCTACAAAAAATTACTAATTTTCTTTATCTGGCATGAATGCTAATGATCGTATCCAACCCTAGCGAGTACCACGTTCGAACCATATTCGCTAGTTATACCATGCCTTTTGTTGTTATGCAGTTATGTACAAATTGTATCATCAAAGATGAATGATTGTTTCAGTGGTAAGACGAGGTCCGTGATGTACTACAAATTTACGGAAAGCCATGACTACCAAATCTACGAAAAAGAAAGACTTGTGTTTCTTACGAGATAAAAGAAAGGCAAGAAAAAAATTCATTTTGTGAGACGCCGATTTATCGTTCTTCGACCTTTAAACTGACGTTATGGGCTACTCGTGTATAGGCAACGCTTCTATATATTTGACATCAATTTTTGCTTCATCATTCGTAAAGCAATGAATCACACACTGATAATAATGACGTGTACATTAGATAACAGCAATTTATGTGGACTAGACAAATCTTCGGAGAACGAACGTTCTTACCTCTTCTGTAACGTCAAACTGTCCGTCTTCATCATAGTATCCGGCTGTCGTTAGTTTCATATGGCACAGGTTGCCGTAGAAAATTGATCCGTCACAGATTGCCTGCCATTGATTACGTGTTAGACGAATGGACGGCTTAGCAGTAGTCTGTGAATGTCATTATCTAAATGCAGGCATATCGATGCGTGTATTTTAGTCTTCCTGCTAACTGTTTCAGTTATTCATCTAAATACCAATGCGCTCTATGGCTGCTGTTAACAAGATGGTTACCTCGAGGATGCGAAGCACGAAAGGATATGCTGTCCGAGGATCAGGCCATGAAAGCTGCTTCCAGAACTCCTTAATTTGGCCGAAACATGCCGTCGTATCAACGGCTGATGTACTGTACTGCACATTCGTATCGACAAATCTCAGCTAAATAAAAATACACAGATACGCACGCGATATATTGAAAACAGTAAGGCAATTGCAGAGTAACTTAAAATGGATGGTCCACTGATTATTAAGATAAAGAGATGGCTGTAGATATGTATGTATTTTATATAGATAAAGGTAACATTTATAAGCTGCGACTGCTGGCTGACGATTGAACGAAACAAGCCGACAAGTAGCTCAAGTAATTAGTGATAATCAACTTAATTGTGTTTGCATTAGGTTGCCTGGAGCTATTTGATGGGCCGAAGAACTCAAACCACTGGTAGGTGAATGTTTTTTTTTTTTTTTTTCGTAAAAACTTTGTCTATCCTTGATAGTCGACTGACTAGATGTACTCATAATAACAACTTTAGGTAAATATGTATAGGTTTAGTGCTCAGCGATTTTGTTTACGCCTCTACGAAATGAGACTGCTAATTCAAACTGTCGGAAAATACCGGGAAAGGAGCCTTCGGTGAAATAAGTTTATTACTAATGCAGTCATATTTGGAGGTTGATAGCTACGAAGAAAATAAGGGCTTTTCGGAAAATTTCTATGATTTCAAAAATGTATCGTATATCGTTTATCATAAGAGTTGAGCAAATTGTCTCTGTTGTGTTTGAAACTTTTTTTCACCTACCTACCTACCTAACCCAAGCTCAATCGATAAGAAATGTATTTTTGTCTTTTTGTTGTCATCTTCGGTGCTTAGGTTACAGTTTCATACCAGGTGCTTGAGAGAATCAGGTAGGGTGTAGTCAGAGGCCCTATCCATGCTATTTTTTTCAAGTTCCGCGAACACAAGAACCCGTTCCCCCGATTGAGCTTTTAAAGCGTGTGTAAAAAGCCTTGAGTTTTCCGATTTTCATGCTAAAAATCATTTATTATTTTTAGAACGGAAATTGGATATAACGAACTCTTGTTTTACCGGAAATCCTCTTCCCCAGAGGTTTCATTAAACACAGAAACTTCATTACAAAAAGGTGACTTTATCTCTCTTTATTTTATTAAACGATGTCTTTATCTCTCAATTTATCATGGTCGTATAATACACAATTAAACTACTGAAGTAGATGGCTAAAAACTGTATGGAAATATCTTCCGAATTTCGTTCGCCAACGGGTGCTAAACAGTATAAACGTAGTTCGAAATCGTTGGTCCGCTAAATAGCCCTGGACAATCAATACACTTGATTGCATAAATTTTATTAATTATACCAGTAGGAAAATTATTAAAAAAAAAAAAATATATATATATATATATATACATGTATATATACAATATTACGGAAGTAAACGTGCGCAGACCTGGATTCTCTGGTATTTCAAATACACCACTGTCAACATTTTTCGAATGACGTTTGTTTGTTTGCTTTGGCTACACAAGAGATCACCTTGACCCAGCTTTCGATCTCTCTTCGACAGGGATTGATTGAACAGAAGTTTAGCGTGACGGTAGTATGGCCGCTTACAACTCTACCGGAGCAGCTTTCAAATCACGTATTGCTGAGAATAACAAATTTTTGATGCAAAAATACTATAGAGACGTTATGATATTTCAGTATTTGAAATTAAACTTGGTGCCTCACTTGCCTAGCCCGTATTTAATGCGTTAAAGTGGTAATATGTATAAAGAGATTAAAGAAAAGCTATTGCAAAAGAACACTGGTTTAACACGACTTTAGAAAGCATTACCTCGCAGTCAAACAATGGATGCAATAGCTCACACACAGAGCTCTACAAATAGACATTCAAACCCGACAATGCACTGTGATTTTAAAGATTATTCGCTTTGAAACGATTGAAAATCTCATTTCCGACATAGGCGGTTTGCTGCGGTGACAAAAAAAAATAAAAAAATAAAAAAAAAAATAACAATTCCTTAATCTGTTTGTAGCTCGGACAAATAACGTGCAAGGGCATAGAATAAGATATATTATTGAAATAATCCGCATAATCACTGTCGATGTTCTATGATGTGGGCCATAAACAGAAATTACCCTAATAAACATATCATTCCTGCAAATATGGTACGCTATATGTTGGTGAAAAAAACATCTCTTAATTGTCGTTACGATTTATTGCGACCGCTAATATTGATTTTAGAAGAATAAATCTAATCACAATACGGGCCTGCTATATATATATATTACTCGGAAAGTTTCCGGAAAAAATGGTATTTTTTACAATTGTGTACACGGTGAAGGACCACACGTCGCAATTGCTTGTGCTGTTCTCTACAACAACAACAACAACAAAAAAAAGACAGTCGAATACGCAATATATTGTACCTTTTCGTTTGCAAACAGGAATCCTTTTCCCATCTGTAATACGTTTACTCAATTTAGTTGTTTTAGCTTAGTTATGTTATAACTGGTAACTGTCGAAATATAACTCTTCTCGAGACAGCAGTAGAATCAACGGGAAAAATTACCTCGTAATTTATCTAGAATTCGGGCGCGTACCGATAGGAAATCTACGATCTACTGAATGAAAATTTACAGCAGAATAAATACAGATATAAAAATATATTTTTGTTTGGTGATTAACTAAAAAAATTACCTCTCCATGTTACAAACCTTCCTCTTGACCTTATATTGAAATTGTTGTTTCTTAGCGTATCGGCGACACTGAAACTAATCATTTAATCACTACTTACCTTCTACATTGGCGCATGTAAGGAAAAAAAAAAGCAAAAGTTAGTATCTATATTCTATATCGTAGAAAAAATGGCTTCTGCGCTTACTCTTACCAGTCTATATAAAGTATGTACTTTAAGACGGAGTTGCATGTTCATTTATTGGAAAGAGGCTTCGAAGAATCAGAATTGTTTTTTCCGTGTTATTATGCACGTTTCGGCTTCGAGAGAACCAGCTATCTGGAATTATCTCTTCAGTAAAACATCGAGGACGTGCCCCGCCAATGGTAGCCGGGGCAGACCTTGCTGAACATACCTGGGTTTCTCCCAACAGATCTAGGAAACGGCATGGCAACCATATGATTATATATATACATATATTATATATATTACTATGAGCTTAGTTTTGTTTTTCGTTGTATCGGAAACTTGGGGTCTCTTGAATTGATAGATCTCTTGTCAGTGCAAAGATTTGAACCCGTGCAGCTGCATGTTCATCGTTCTCTCATGGTTGTAATGACAACGCGGAGAGTTGGTCTTTAGTAGTCCTGCTGTTTAAAACAGACGTTTGGTAGGGGCTTTCTGCTGACAATGAACAACACGTACCCGATCAATTTCTAACGCCTTTCGAATCCGCAATCGCGCTCTTCCTTTAGCGATTATAAACCATGATTGCACTGCGTCTGTGAACCAGAGCTGAAACTGGTGAACGGCCAACTGGCGTCCGTCGCTGCAAGAAGATTAAGAGCACATATTTATACGAGGCCTCAAGTGTACGTATATTTATACATATATACATACATATAGTGCGGGTATGGTAACGAGCAGCATCGCATATGCACATTGGACATTGTGTGAGGCTATACAACCTAGAGGCCTAACCTAGAGCGCTTGTTTTCATTAAGTCTGAGGACCCCAATTTTCGTTATAATCGTCTTACTTTCTGATCTGTTGTATTACTATATAATTGTATAATTTTTTTGTTGCAGTTCTTCCACCATCCGATTTTAATAGATAGCAGTTATTTTGCGTCAGTTATTATGTCCTCTTTTTACAATTAATTTGTGGTTTTGCAATGGTTAATCCATCATCTCCGTCAGTTATTCAGCCTTCTCAATATAAAACTGAACTACACTTTGAAAAATATAGGGAAACATTAGGTTGCTCAAAGGATAGGGTGAGTTAGCAGGGTAGGCAATAAAATCGATTTTTTTCAAAAACCCATTTTTCTGCAACTGTGCACAGCTTTGTATATGGGATGCTTTAGGACTTTTCAACAATTTTCGAGATAATTGCCGCGGAAAGATGCGCTTATTTCAGTCAGTCTATTTCTATATTTTTTGTCATAATATTTTTTCGTCAAGCCAGATTTTTAGGCAAGAGACATAAAAATCCTGTGGTTATTTTGTTTCGACTAAGCAGCTCTGATTCAGCTCACTTTGGGGAGCCCGTGATGTCATGTTACAGTTTGTGAGCTTTAAGGCGATCTTGAGCAGGTGTTAGCAGGAGCAGAATTCATTCAGTCACTTTTGAAATGACTGTGATCGTTAGGAGTGAGGTTGTGGGAACCATTTCACCTATATCATACACCAGATTTCTCTGGAAACAAAGTGTCATGTCTAGCTAATTTTGAACATTCGCAGATCAAAATTTTCTTCTCAATTCATTTATCATGTTAGCTTACGTACAGCTCATCGTTAGTAGGAGCAATGGATTAACGATCTCATATCGAATTTGAGCAAAAAAGGTAAATGTGTCTTCCGAAAAAATGCGTTCATCCAAATTTTATGCCGGGGGAAGTCCGCAAATATTTCGAGTTAAACGAAGTCGGTGTAATGATTAACAATAAATACGACTTTTATGGTTACATTTAGGACTCTATACCGGGCTACCATATTATCCTAAAGATATAATTATGTTAACGACTTTTGCCTGTCAGCTGTCTCAAAGTCGCCCCTGGTAAGGTGCAGCTTCGCGAAATCAACCAATTTTGTGTAGTTGGAACAACAAGTTTTGTGTAGTCATATCAAACACACAACCCTTAGCGTTGATATAGCTGCAACTTTGTGTGCTGCTTGGCTATGTACAGGCACACTGAACATCGGCCTATATCACGCAGAGCCTTAGGTTATTAGTTAGTCGGCGGAAGTGTGCTTCAGTCGGCCATAGTCGTTGCCCATTCGGTACTGGACGGCGGTCCAAAGGAGTACTGCCACAACATCGCTTCACGCCACAGAACGATTGTCTAACATAATCAATATCTACTATGGCAAAGAGATAACCGTCCGTCATTTCCCGCTTGAGAGGGAGACAATTAAATACATACGTAAGTCCATAATATTTTTGCTTTATCACTTTTAAATACAAAAGAGATATGATACTCACGTCAGTGTGATGGTATAAACTCTTGGGTAGAAAAAAAAAAAAAACATATATAATGTATAAAAGAAATTGTCGTTTAAGTTTAGAACGCTCTGGCTTGGGACCTGGCCTTTCATTTAGCTGTTTTGAGAGCTTCTACTTTGTATTGCTACTTGTGTTGTAAGGCTTTTTATTTTAATCTAGAAGCACTTTGGTACCGGCCAGCTGATTATTTTTTTATGTACATTTACGCCGCTACCTTCAGCGGCTACCGAAAATCATATTTTTTAAACTCGAATCTGTTTTTCTAAACACAAAAGTATCTTTGTTTATTAGATGCCGTCCACGTCGTTTGATTTTAGCTTAAAGCTTACGCCATTCATATTAAGTCATTCTATAGCAGGTTTTCCACTGAGACTGTACCGTAACGTCGCTGGCGATAATTTATTATCACCATAAGCTTTAGTAATAATCCGCTTTCTAGTAAGTTTTGGCAACGCGCTATTGATCGAATCCACGCATCGTATAAAAAGAAAATAGCACAATGGGAGCGAGTGTGGTAGAAGCTTTTATGAGTTATACTTTTAATCTTTATATTAGGCATAAACGAGTACACTTAAAAAATCACATGATGGTTTAGCCTAATAGAAATTCCCCGTTATTGGTTTATGGCCATGGCCTCGAAACATTCGTGAAAAAACTGTTAGAACGGTGTGTTATACGCACACACAAAGACGCGTATCGATAACAGGTATTTAACAACAACTGTCGATCCCAAACGAAGTCCATACTTCATCGGCGGTCGGTGAAGATCTTTAGCTAATCAATCACAAGCACCATAGCTTCATCACGCCAGCTCAAACGTTGCTTTGCTCTCGCCTATATTGCTGTTTTGCATCCTATTAGATTCGTGTTGATCTTTTATTCTCTTTTTGGTTATCTATTTTTTTTCTCTTTTGCTCTTTTTGATTTATTTTCCTGTCATTTTTTAACTGACGACAACGCTGATAAACGTTAGACAAGGTAGGCTGCCAGCCAGATTTTTTTCTACGAAATAGAACAACAATGATTCTAATTAAAGTGGACTGGTATGACATGAGACCGAACACACATAACGAACGGACTGGTAAAAACTATATAGTGTTTTTAGCTGAATAATATTGCAGGTAAGCGCATGGGAAAGGCTACGTTCAGCTAAATACTGGTCCCGCTAAATGTATGGATTTGTTCGCTCAATGAATACCAATGATAGTAATTATTCTATTTTCAACGGGAAAAATTACCATAAAGTTTGCCGCTTAGTTTTCATAATGGACTGGTTGATGTTGTTTCATAGAAGAGCATACCGGCAGAACCATGCTAAACTATCTGTCTTTTTGTATATAACATCCGATACTTACGGCCTTAAGCATTATTTTCGGCCTACGAAACGCTTGCCTATGAAGGGGCAAGATCCGGTCCTTTAGAGGTATGCCACAGATGCTGTTTTATATCAGAAGCGTATTTGCACGCGCATCTTGGTTTAGATACTAACCGCTAAGGTCATTCCTTTTATTTATATTTTTGGAACAGGTTCGTTGTTTTGCAACGATTGCATGAAATACATTTTATCGATTACACGTTCATAGATTACTGAGCTTAACAGCTCAGTTTGTTTATCGAAGGCTTACATCTTATAGATTGACATACAATATAGCATTCTTCGTCTAATTGCTCCTTGCACCAAAAGGAACTTGCAAGTTTTTTCTGCCCATTAACATCGGGGTTTGCTGCTACGTCTTTTTTTCACTCATGACGTCGACTATAAGTAGGTCAATTCGTGATTTCAGCAGCTGCTCACACGATTGGTTAACAGATGCGAAGTAGGTGTTTATGTTCTACGTGTTCAAATGTAAAACTCCACTGCCGTGTTAAGGCTTACCGAACGTTTGCCATATATTGCAAGCTGTTTGTTACATCACAGTGTGAACTTGGCAGTTGTTGAAAAGAAACTTAACGAAAAAGAGCTATTATTATTATTTTAAAATATGACGTAAACAGCTAAATAAGAAACATGGGGCACGTAAAAGCGATCTCCGATATTAGATTCGTACGGCGCACGTCCGTCTATTTGGCTTGCGCAAAGAGTAACGTTATTTCAGAGGTTATTACCCACCGTCTGCACGACATATAACTTCCGATAATTCATTCACAAGCAGATCCTTCAAAGCAAACATTTGTTCAATTCTCGGGGGCGCTATCGGGAGCTCCGCATTCTCGTGACTTCCAACAAGACACTTTTGTGCGTCGCTCTCATTTTCCTATACCGAACGAAGCTCGTATGCTAATACGACTTATCCGCTACAAATAAATGTTGTGTTCTCAATTTGACCCGAATTGAGAAGACCTTTTTGAACAGGCTCATTCGTTTATTTTAATGGTCGTAGCCCATCGTAATGTCATAACTCACTCGAGTTGGTGCACTTGGCGAAACTTTGCAAACTCTTGCAGCGCCATGTAGAGCTCGAACAGTGCGATGCCTGTTGCTACAGCATCTTCGTGGGGGTCCGACGAACCCGGGCCACCAGAAAAGACTATCGTATGTCCCGCCGGATTCTCTTGGGCAGCGATGATTGCTTTTACCTTTTCGGCCAAAACGTCATGCACCTGTGAACGGAAAGGTAGGAGCAAAGTTGTTACACGACAACATACATTCCGACCACGCTCCCATACTCGTATTAGATACCGTTTCGTTTGGCCATAGGATGCGTACACTCGAAACGTCTATGACGTGCATGAACTGCGAAGTCCTTCTTTCGCGCACTCTTTCGAAATCAAAGCCTAGGAGAAATTTTTTATTCACCAGAACGTTTACGACCGCTAACAACCGGGAGTTCTAGGAAGTGACGTGTGTTGACTATTGCGACATGTTCTCTGCGATTGAACATTTATCGTGCCTGGTAGCAGTGGTCAGTGCCAATCATTGACTGCCCCAGTTTACTAACAGTGAACATTAACTTAGATAACCATTCGAGTCGTTGAAGCAGCGCCCCCCCTGTTGGAGTAATAAACCCACTCATAAATCTAGTCACAATTAACTTTACGTGCAAGGATCCGACCAGGCGTCTGTAAGGTTAGCTGCACTTTATATCTGAAGTTCTTAGTCGGTAAAACACTTTTTATGGGAATTTGTTAATAGCCTCATGGAGCCTTTATTCATAAATCACTCGGGCAGCAGGTGCTGAAAATTTCAAATTGAATATGACCATTTTGGTAACGTAGAAAATGTTATATATTTGTTGAACTTGTTAACTAGATGTCGTAAAACTCTGTTTTCTTGCTATCTGCCGCCAAAATGGATTACCTATGTTAGACGAAAAAAGTTTTATCTGTATTAATTGCAGTACCTCATTTTGTAGACGCATCGCTACTTCATCCGATATCTGCAATAAATGAAAGGGTTCAGTAAAATTTGTCCACATGTCTACCAAATATCAAGATAAACTAAAGTAACGAGTGGTTTTCTACTAATGCTGTGACAGCATTCATAAGCCTGGGGGTGGTAATGCTCAGCCGGTGAATGAAACAAAACCTGGTGAATTGTATGCTAAATATGGAGCTGGTTACTACCCCACCGTACTCCCATGTTTCCTAGACGTCAGATTTCGGAAGCCTGGATTCTTCTAAACTGCAATTCTTTCCATTTCAGCTCAAATGATAAAAGACAAATATGCAGGACTGTTTACAGGTAAGGCCATGAAAATCTTATTGTTTAGTCCGATTTGTCTCATGTCTACAAAGTCCCCGCATGAAACCCTTTCTCCAATGGTATATTAGATGTAGGTCAAATAAAAGCTGAGTTCTTAAGAAGTCAAAACTCCGTGCTTCCTAGCTACGGGATACATGGTTGAACTAACTTCGCCGTGAATGATTAATTACCATTTTTTCAAACTGCTTGTAGTTCGTTGCAATGTAGTTAATCCCAATGAACCTGTAAATTTATTCTCGTATTTTAGGTTAGAATACTTCTACTGAAAGTTACTCATAATGTTGACGTTGCATAGCCTTCAATAGAAGCATAACTATTGCTATCTGTGGCTAACACTGAAAACAGAGACTAGCTCTGTTCCGTAACTAAGCTATATGTCAGCTAGAATCTAGCCAGGATTTCTAACATTAACTGCTTGAATCTAGCCATCTGACCTATTCAGCCTGAACAGTACGAGAGCCGTAGAGATCTAACACAAATTTAGCCAATTGTTGTGTATCTCTTAGTTAGCGATCCAAACACAAAGCACATATGGGTAGAACCGAAAACAGTCCATTCAGGTATTCCTCGTAAAGTTCCGGAGCACAGTTTGGCATACCATTGCTATGGATCTACAACCTCAGATGTCACAGTCTTGAGGTTATATATGTATGTATATAACTATGTATTACACACGTTTCAAAGAGATGATTATGATACTTTTCGCCGCGCTGAATGTCGGAATTAACGGCGTTGACAAGAAGTGAAAGTGCCGTAAGTGTGGCACGTTCTTCGGTAAATCCTGATCCGTTTAAATGTTCTTGTTGGTGTTGCAGGGTTGCGTTGAACCATTCCGTGGCACCTTTCTGCTCGTTAACGTGATAATGACAAGAGCAAACAACGGATGCTTTGTTTATTGCGCGACATTTCTACATTGTATATTTTATGTTAATTATTCTTTAGTACCATACAGGTCTTCTATGTTTCTATGTTGTGTACTATGAAGTGTGAGCTTACTTTTAGTGCGTTGATCACCTCTACGGTTAACTGATTTCGGAAAGGACAACACCATTTGAACGCTTTCATTTTATAGATCAGGGACAAACACCTGGAGGTCAAAAATAGGCAAGATCCGGCCATTAGGTAAACTTACTATCTAATTAGAAAAACAATTAGTAGCAGGAATCCAGCATTTCTAATTATTGTAGAATTTAATATGCCATGCGAAGGACCGGTTGTCATTTTATTATTTAATAACGAAATCTTTGCACTAATACTATTGAGCAAAGGAATGTTTGTACATTATAAACGGCTATACACGGTGCGCACTATAGGGCTATATAGAACGTAAGTGGCGTGAGCAGTCAAAAGCTTCTCGCAGACACTTTGTATCGACGTACGACACGCGTCTGTGTCTGGACGACCACCATAAGCTCGGTACGCATATAAATAGAGACTGACTTGTATTTTCATTGGGTGGAGTTGACAATCGGCTAAGCGTAGGACACCATGCCTATTACTCATTCAATCAGCTTTTCAACGGCAATTTTTAATGGCGAGTCGCTGAAGGGTTTCCTGCTCCATATCCTTACTTAGTCCTTACTCGTTATAATCGAATAGCTGCGACGCTGTCAGCAACCGTCAGCATTATGGCTGTGGCCAAGCACGTGGTGACGTCTCGGACGGCTACATATACACTTAACTTATCGTAGTCCACCAGAAAGACCTTGACTTTGTTAAGGCGTGTGATCTCATTATTTGTCAAGGCCCTGGCCTCGGCGCTCGGTAGAGGACACAGCAAGGAGCAGCAAGCTATGGCAGAAGAACTTCGTTTGCTCATACATTTTATTGAACTACAGTTTTCCCATTTTTTCATATCGACGCATCGTCTATGACGGGACAGCGTCAGAGTCGTTTACGTCGAAGGGCTCAGGCAAATATCATAGCTTTGGTAATGTGCTGTTTGGCGCCCACAGATTAGTCTGTGTCGCTAGCGATTTGTTGGAAGATTAGATAATATTGCTATGTGATAGCTGTATGTTGCAGTCGTGTCTAAAGCGTTTGTGTGCTCGTGTGATGAGGGCTCTTGTATCGGCCATCCCTATTACGGCCGCCAGCATAACCGATGCCACGAAGGAGAGAGAGAGCATTATGAATATCTTTCGCAGCATGTAGTCCTTCTGGCATAAAGTAACTGACACTGATCTCTTTTCTTGAATCCAGCCAGCTGTTTCTTTCGTGTGTAGAACATAAGCCCTGCAGTTATCTGTTCCTGAAACTGTGTCCGTCCCGATGCCAATTTCATGTCACTTTATGATGCTCCTCTTTTTCTAGCGTCGACATAATGGTTTTGCAATTAGCAACATAAGCGATGGCCTTTCCGATTAAGAGTGGTGCAAAACGAGGTAAGTAGTGTACGAGGTGGTGGACGTAAGTGGTACTACGGCCACAGACAGGAAATCGTGCAGATAAAATCTACCTGCCCTATTATATGCGCATATTACCGTAAAGGCACCGCTTTTAATTTCGATAACACATAAAAAAAATCTCATGCTTTATTGGAATTTGATTACTTGGGTCAAAAATCATGCCGAGGAAAATACCGTTTTCAAACATGTCCTTCAGAGGTTAGTATGGTTTTTGTGTGCACGTTTACAAACGACGTGCACATGTACGCACTATACTTGAGACATGAATAGGTTTATTGTAGTGATGGCGATTTATTTAAGCAAAGAAAACATACTTAAGCATGTGCACCATTTTGTGTTCGGCTTCAAGGTTTGCCACAGGAATGATGGAACGATGCTTGGCAATGACTTGAAGACAGAGGTCGATCATATTATTGAACGACTCCGCCAACGATGCTTCCTGTAGGAATAGAAATTGACGAATTCGTGAGGCCTATGCCTGATCACGTTTGCACGAAGCGGCTTGACGGTCAGAATAGCAAACACCCACAATAAAAATGTTTCCTCGTCGTACGTACCTATTATTGGAGCTAGCTTATAGACAATCGTACACGTATTACTGATTTGGACAAAAAACTTGGCAAGTTAAGCTTTATTAAAACCTAGACTATTAAGTATTTTTCCGAACTGTAAAATATATTTTCCGTATTTGTTTTTTTAAAAAAAGCAACCTCGTCTCGAGACAGCGCCTTTTCCGAATGTTCCCATTTGGTATCAACGTCTTCGAGTAGCGAATGGAGTAAAGCATAGTCGAGGGGTTGCGCTTTTCGATTTTGATGCCTTTTGGAGATCGCCACCCATCGCGAAAGACTTTGCTGCAGCTCGCTCAGGTCACCCTGAATCGCATGTTGATGCAGTATCGTCTGCGCGGCACGGGCTACTTCACCGGGCCATTCCGAAGCTTTCTGCAACAAAAAAAAAACCTCTATTACTTTGCTACCTTTTTTTTTTATTACTCTATTGCTTTTACTACGAATGGCGAACGCCGTGCCGCGTGCAACGGTTTACAGTACGCAGCATTGAATAGCTTCATACATCGGTCATGTCTAGCGACTGGGAACACTCTGGCCCAAGCGTTTATGCAACCGAAATTTCAACTGATGCTTCATGCCCACCGGGCGCTTCCCAACACTGTTTGTTTTAACGGAAGCAAAAGGTTATTTTAGCCTTGTCGCAATTTATCCATTAGCTAACTGCATTACTTCTGTTAATTTGTTGCCTCTTATCGCCATTGTCTCCTTGTGATTATAGGTCTGTGGTTTTCTAGGTGACCCACTGCGAGGAACTAAGTGGCTTGAATTGTCAAGGTGTTGACTAGGGCTCTATGAACTTGGCATAGTTACCTCGCATCAGTTTTTTCACCAACCTTTATCAATTATCCCTTGTTCCGACCGCACGCAACCTATCTTTGTTGTTGTATTTGTGTCTCTCCGTTAATACATTAAAATTATTTCGTAATCTCACAGTTACGGGACTAAGACTAATTTTAAAAGGAAATATATTTTTCATAATGTTTTTTAGCACACGTTTTATTTTTCTACAACGTCTTCTCTTCCAGCTCAAACTACAGGTGAGAAAAATCGTATTTGAAACAATCACTGCATGTTAACAGATTTCAACCGAGCCGCCTGCAACGGCTTATCAGCTTATTACAAGCTTTATACTATAGCTAAAAAAAAAAACAGCCGTACAACCTGTTAACGCAGGCTCGCAACTAATTAAAACTCATCCTTAGGATAAATATGTTCAATTGGCCTGAGATATCAAATGTGCAGGCATATTGTGCTCAAAGTCACCACACTTGCTGTCCTAATATTCCCAATAAATTAGGAATGTTTGTTCTGAAAGCTCATTAACAAAATCGATTGACGGAGCTGTTTGTGACTATTGGTACCAATTAACGCGGCAAACGCCTTTCGTATTGGCATCCTCACTATCTGCCATTTGTTACCGTGTGCATGGTACAGGCTCTTGGCGATAATCTAATTTCTGTCGTGAGGTGAAGTCAAGTAAGTAGAACGCTAATCAGGCAGGCTCACTGTAGAGAAAGGCCTTAAGTTTTCCTTAAGCCAACAGCAGCGCATAAGCTGCCAAATCATTACGTATTGTCGGTGTTTTATTAAGCGAACGATAGTACAAACTTTTTTTTTCTTTTACAGCGTACGAATTGACAAGCGACAATGAGCGAAACACTTTCCTATCAAGCGGTTTTAAGCTGCGGAAGGCTAGAATCGTCACCGGTGCCATTACACCATCATACTTCGTACGCTTGTTTCATTTCATTCAGACTGAGTTAGAGCCACACTAAATATAGCTAGTAACAATGTCTATCCATCCGCTAGTCCATCGGCGTCTGAGCCCAGAGAAACCCATAACACGTTCGCTGTTGTTGATCCTGTGGTTACGGTTGTGGCTGTTCCTGGCTGCAACCTAAGGACATGAGTCGCCCAATGTCTGCCACTGATGGGTGAACGGCAAAGCTAGCAAGACTAAAAAGACATAATGAAATTTTGTTTCAACGATATCTTTCTCTTATTACCGAAAGCAGGCGCAAACTGGTAGCTGTTTTGTGACAAGCCGTGTCCCATTTCGGTATATGCTACACTCAGAGCTGTCGAAGTGATAAGTTGAAATAATAGTAATGTAATCGTACTTAGTAATTTAGGCCTACCCCGCAGTAGTGCGTCCTGTGGGACTGAGCATTTATATAGACCATACTTGCAAACTTGTTTATGTTAAGAATGTAAACTGTAAGAAATACTGACATACATAAAGGTAGTTTTCTTCATACTCTTGTGGAAGATAATAAATATTGGGTTGACCAATAGTGGGGATGTTGCTAATGAAGGTTAAAAAGGGCACGGTGTTTCTCGGCACGTGACCTACATTTTGTTTTCAAATAATCCGAGAACTAGCGCCTTGGTCATTAGTTGTTGCCGTTAACTTCTTATACACATCTAACCTCCATATTTATGCGCACGAAGTACCGAAGGCCTTGTGTTACTTCGGCAAGTTAAGAGGTCCACGATAAAGGCTACAAGCATATGATATGCATATTAACAGCCTGCCGAAGCTATTCGGCGCATGGAAAATTACAGAAAAAAACTTTTACGCAATACGCTATGAATTGGACAGAGTGGGTAAATATTTACATTTGAGTTCTTTGCGATATACGTCTGTAGGCTGTTTGAGTATGAGCAGAGAATAGAAGTATAGCATAAACTAACGAAAATTAACGCTTATGATTTTGTTTGTATTTTTCGAAATTGGCACCGCTATTTGAATGTATCAAATATTGGCGAAGGCGCGGGGGCCCCGTTCGTTACATAGGTAAGCATTCTAAGGGTAAGAATCGCAAGGTTAGAAAAGGCAACTACACCTCAAGACCTGAAACGGATAAATAAGTTACTACGATCATGCAAGTGTTTAAGCAGCGTAGAGTATGGGTATTGTACTTTCTGTCAACTCAATATGAGATTGCTCGGAGCACGAAAACACTGAAAACAGAAATATGTTTGTCATAAACTGAGTTTCGATAGAAACACGTACGATGCACTCTAGCGTCAATATGGACAAAAAACCGCCTGGGTTACATTGTTGCTATAAACGAAATATGGGTCAGGCTGGGCCGCCAACTAAGCTAGTCAAAAAAAGTCGCCAGTGCCAAACGGACTCGGACCTCAGGAGAGATTCATACCGAAAGTGTGCATCAAGGAGATTCATTATTATGAGTTATGTCCAGGAAGGGATAGTTAAGGCTGTTAGATATCTCGAACTATTGGTGGGACACTTTGAGAGTTGCATCGATACCAAAGGCGCCAACAATAAAGGTACGGTGCAGTTACCCGCCCACGAATTCGTGATCACCCTATTTCATATACTGTGCACCTTTGCGGAACTTCTAAAAAGGACTAAATGCTTCAATGTTCTTCGAGCTGTTAGCACTGACCCGTTAAATATAGCGTTTGGAAAAAAACCTCATGGTCATAAAAGACTGAAATAAAATACGCGAGAGGTTTCTGCATTATTTCATGCTGGAAGTTGTATTAGATTGGCACGCCATCTTTCCTCGAAACTGCCACGTGGAAGCGGTGTGCTTCAAATAATTAATGAATTGTATACGTATGCCGCTAATATTAGCTAAGAGACAGCAGTAAATCACTTTGTCCAGTAACGTACACCCAGGTCAAATTAAGGGATGTAGCAACAATCAAGCGCCGCAGCAGGCCGACGATAAAGGTAAACTATCGAACCTGTACCATGTACTACGTACATTGCTGCTGGCTTGTATCAAATGAGCATGCCCCTTATTTAGCGGAAATAGTTAGCTCAATTGCATAAACGACATGATACTACCTGGTAATTGGCGAGCGTATGCTGGATGAAGATATCGAGTAGCTGATGATGTTCCACGACCTTTGCGAGGGAAACAACAAAAACGGCATGAAAAACGTCAAGCATACAATATTATCTTTGCATTCATAAACTATTTGTTATTATATTGCGGTTCGGTAAAGAGTTGCCACCAAACTACATTGAAAATAAACGACTTTGAACTGAGAACAGTTCCAAATATAAGGTAACAATATTAGCTGACCGTTAATCTGTCTTGTTAGGCACCGTCAACGGCGACTGCCTATTTATACAAACGTTGGAATGAAATCAACAAATGCCAGCTGCTTCAGTTTTTTTACTTGCTACGACAGGTTTGTGGATATCTCTTTAACGATAATGAAGCTAAAAAAATTCATATTGTTTTTGATCATCTAGCAACCATTGAGAATGTCTAGCGGTTGTGTTAAGACGAGCACCTGTAAAGTGGCTCAACGTTCGGTATCTGTCACTATCGCTTGGGCTTTTGGCTTACGACTTTTAGCTGCAGGGCCCGCTAAATGGGCTTACGTCGATGCCAGATAAATGCGAGATAACCAGGGCTCATATAAGCTTAGCTGTGGGCGCACTAGATGAGAATAAATCTCCGTCGACACCTCGAACCGAACTATTGGTTAATTATTAAATATGTTTTGTTAGAATTGCTAGGTCGGGTAAAATCGCAATTTGAACTACGGTGCACTGTACTTTTCGCCTACGGAGTTTCATCACAAACGATTACGGGAGCCGTAGTGGCATGGAAAGGTGCACAGGCTTAACCTGATAAAAATGCGAGTCGTTTCACCTTGTCCTATTTTCCTCTTGCCACTGATCCCAGACATACGTTTGTAAAGATTACTTCCAAAAAGTGCTGTTTATACCATGACAGTAAGTAACGACAAGGATTCAAAATGGATACATTGCTCTCAGCAAAACGCTGTCGAAAGGCTGTCCTATACTTTAAACAAGTTCTCATCAGCGAGACATTAGATCAAAGCTGTAGGACGTCTTTAGTACGACGTCTCGCCGCAGGACAGCTCTACTCTTTACCTTTTATTTTTATTTATTAATCAACTGTCCTTCGAGACACGAATAAGTTTAGTCAAATGTCAATTTTGACGCTTAAAGAGGGTGCAGCGACAGAACGCGGTAGAACTTGAACAATTTGGCTACTGGAACTTTAGTTAATCGGATAAACATCACATTCAAGATCTATCATGAACAGCTTGATATAGCTGGCTGTTTGTAAGTCTCGTTAAATCAACGATTTAGTCAATTACAGTAAGTTTTGAATTGTACTCTTGGTGAAATCCTTACAAATTGATTTGTTTCAAGTTTATGAAACATATGTCTTTCAAACTCTTCGTGGTTAGTAATTTGGAAAATGATTATAAATGGAAGAGGGAATACCAGGTTGGGTCGAAATCTTACGAAAATTATCGCACGCTATCAACTGATGCATCTGTCGAGAAATTGCTCTTAGTAAGTTAACCAATTTCACTAAATGGCCGCTTCCAGAATTATATATTTTTTCAATTTAATCTTTATGGCTCTATTTCATAATATTGGCATTGTTCCTTTCTCCATCACATATCACTGCTGTGGCAAATATATATTGTACGAAATAGTTAGTGATGAGCAGGACGAGCCAATTCGGCCCTCGGAAAATGTTATAGGTAACAATTAAGGTAAATTAAAGGCTGCACGTATCGTTAAGGCTAAGGGTGGCGATTATTAGGCGCCGTTCTTTTTTGGCTGATAAGCTTGACATATGCTTTTTTTTTGCTGATAGCGGAAAGATTAGAAACGAGCTCACTAGATAAACTACAATAGACTCAAAACAGTTTTTTTTTTTAATGGAATAGCCAATCCAAGAACCGTTTTGCTGATAATGTTTTCAGCTATGCAGTTATACATGCTCCTTTGAATTGAATAACTCATAACGATGAACTGCGGAAGCAATGAATCGATGAATAAGCCGTTTGTCATCTCTCCCTGCATGCACACCTCTTTCCAGTTGTCTTCACACTGCGCAAGGCCGCGGTCTTCTCGCGTTCCGAGGGAGAGTCGCAGCCTTATCTGGCCCTGCACCGAAGAACGGGTCGTTCGTCCTTCAAGAGGAATCCACCGGTCGATTCCTGATGACGGAATGTCCTAGGTTCGGCACAATAGATTGAATTTTATTAGCCACTGTTAGGATAGCGCTAACGATATGCCTAAAAAAAACAGTGCAACAGCGAGGGGAAAGAAAGATGAAGACGTGGGATAAAAAGATTTTGTTTAATATATATATATATATATATATATATATATATATATATATATAATATATTTCGATATTCCTGTCGAGGGTCATTGAGCAGAGATTTCTTGTAGCAGTTACGCTGTGGGAGTTGTCTGAGTACACTCGGTTACTGCATTTGCCTACACTAGTATCCCAGTCTAGAATAGACAATCGTTTATAGAGTTTCGAGGAAGAGTTTTTTTATTGATAAGCAATAAGAGATACGCATGTAGATAGGATGCGCTGCAATTCGGCACGCACGACTACAACGCTAAATATCTTGTCAAATTTGACGCACCATTTATTTAGTCAGCATTAGCTGGTCATATACGGAGATAATAACCTTACTTGTGCAAAGCTTTACCTGTACAAAATGCCATGAGTATTCTTTTAAAAAAAAGGTCATTTGCAAAGACATATTATTATTGTACTATTTATATTATTTAATAGACAAGATTTGAACGCTATAGTCCACGATCTGTGATATTCAATCTCAATTATTAGCCAGTATGGGCAATAATTACATTTTCGTACCTCGAGAGGAACATTGACGCAACCCAAAAAGTCGTCTGTACTCGATCCCGATCTCGCAGATTGGGCAATCTGTTTAAAATAACTGTAACATACATGAACAATTACAGGACGTTAAAGACGTATATAACGAAGGAACAAACATCACAGTTTTTCTTTTTTTAATTACAGATACCACTTTGAACACATAATCGATCACCAATGAGATATCTCTGTATCATATCTAGCCTAATAAGTAGGCTTATGTCTTTGGAATAATAATCATTAGAGATATAGGTGTTTGTATATGATTAATTTGAAAATTTTTCCATCAAATCAATCAATCAAAGGTTGCCGACCTGTAGCCTGTCTAACTATGAGAAAACTCTTTAGCTTCACTAAATAGAAACACACATCAAATATAAACCTTAAGACGACGTTAATGAAAATTAAATAAATTTAGCGATACGATATGGCCACTTAGTAGGGCAATTCCTAAAAGTTGAAGAAAAAATATCTCAGATCCCATAACTTGAATCAGCGTAACACCCCTGACCACTAAAGTCTGGCTTGCAGCAGCAGGGTAGTGAGGTGTCATAGAACTGTCCATGATATAATTACAAACCCATGGAAGTACCGTTGCATTCGTCGCTTAACAAATAGATCGAACACACACAACGACGCATAAACTCCTACGCTGTGTAACGGCACAGTGGAGAACTTCAACTTGAAAATTCAGCCTAGCAAATTAGGCGTGGCACTTTATCTACTTCAAGTGAAATGTTTACCATGACGCTCCTAGACGGCATCGTTTTGGACGCAAATTCGTAGAAAGACACCAAAGCTTTTGGGAATAAGCTCGACCTTGCCCCTAGCTACACTGGGCAACGTTGCCCTTAATTAAACTCAAGGCTGTCTTAGAAGTAACAATTCAGCTTACGAGATCTTGCAACTCAGTTACGAGTTGTATGAACGTGGCCGAGAAGAGGCCAGGTTTGGCAATTATGTCCTCAATTAACGTGTGTATCTGTCCTGTAGCAGGAGCGAGAGCGCTCTTGTTGTCCGCGAGCCTGTCGCTATTGGTTTGTAGACGGATGTCACTACACAGCAATCAATTCTGAAGAGCAAATGATTCGTCTTCCATGCGGAGTCTAATGTTTCAATAAAAGATCGCTATAATTCGCTCATTTTTTATTGTCATTTTTGTAGGTCTATGAAAAGATCAAACCAAATTCAATTAAACTATAGTATAAGCACCAAGGACAATAAATTTAAGGTTTCAACAACAATAACGATGCCAATTAGTTTGACCAAGATCAGAGGTTCTAGCAATAAGTCTGAGTTAAGATGCAAAGAACACCAATGTTACCGTATCCCCAAAATACTCATTCTAAGTACGTTGGCCTCATTCATTTGTGGGTGTCACAGTTTGTTATTTCGAGCTCAGCAATGACTTTTTCGTCTTTGCAGTTCTGGTTTTCTTCTGCCGGTACGGTTGCGGACAAGATGACCACGGAGTTTTCTTACGCGTAGACCACAAAAATCGAACTGTTTACGGCATTTCAGCCTGTTAAGATTCAACTCAGTTATTCTAAGCATTTCTACTAGATGTGCTGAAAGGGTCGCGGGAAACTTGCTCAATCTTCAGTACACAAATGCATTTCCCTACCTCAGTCAATAAGCTTCGATCGCTCAAAGTGAAATTGTACCTAAAATGGTATATGTGCGTGGAAGACCTAAATGGTATATGGGCTAGATATAACCCATTTGCAAATGGCTAGGATGGGCATATGGAGAGCAATATGGTTGAGAACCCGATGAATAACGAGGGCGAGGAAGAGAGAGGGTGAATATATTCCTACAACAGGGCGCGAGATCGTACGACGACGAAGAAGACGAGTCAAAGAATTCACGGTGGTTACCCTGTTCAGATTGGCAAGCGCATGAGCATAGATTACTCGAAATGACGCATCGTATGATCACCCTCGGTGTTAAGTCAAGCAAAAGAATAGACATTCAGAAGTCAAATGGTCGAAGACTGTCCGCCTTAAGCGTGAGCGATTCCTTTGGCCTGACGCGCTACTTATTCAGTCACTTGTAGTTTAACACCCTACATGCCCTTAGAAGTTGTAGTTTCTATAATAGGATCATATCAATAACGCTCTTAGGTTGAGCTATATATAGTACGACAGGGATCGTTATCAGTGCGTTTCAACTTATCTTCTATCCTATCAACTCGGTCTGTGTTCGTCGTTTCGATCTCATTAGCTTGCTTGCTTTTTACCTCTGGCATTTCCGTCGCTGGGACAGAGGTCGTAAATCGATTGTGAAATTAGACAAATGAATTACTAGCTACTGATAGTGTTTTCGTCATCTCGATAAGCCATAACGCAAGAGACGATGCAATACTAGATATCAACGGTGGATTACAAACAACTAAGCTGAGTAGCTACGTTTGCCGAGTAGCCGTTTACATACTGTACATTTGACCAGTACAATTATGAGAAGAGGGCGACGTAAAAAGGGTCTATTAATTGAAGAACGACTAGCCAAAAGGGTGGCGAAATTTTTTTGTTCTGAAAAATATCGAGACTATTGTTCCTCACAATTTACAAAAGCATGTAATCTTAACAGAATCTAAAAGGATTTTAAGCTTCAATTGCTTAGGATTTAAGCTTGGATCAATAGAAGGACGCCACAGTCATAACCATGTGTAAATATGACACGTAACAGATACACCTATAGCTATAATCTTAAACGCTTTGAGCTTGTTTAGGTCTTAATTTGCACTAGCACTGCATTGGTTCGTTGGCCTAGCATACAACGGATGTCTTGATTCCATGATTCAATCTTGGGCTGAGTGTCCTGCAGGAGGCTGCATTGCCACTGCCGTAGCCATGGGTCTATTAAAACGTTCTGTTGGTTCACTTTTGTAAGGACAACATTTTTTTACAACCAGTTCTGGCAGTACTATTAAGCTAAGCAGCGTTGGCGTTTCGTTGACGCTCGCATTCTCATATGAGTGTGTTTGTGGAATGCGAAGACGCTAGCGATTCTAGGAGCATGTGCATAGGAGAACAAGGATGACGATCCTTTTTGGTGCTCATATTAAGGACGTCGGTAGCGCACATCGATATGGCAATGAAAAATGTTGTTTTTAAGCGATACATCGCGTATTTAAGTCGCTGTCAATATTATATTTTAGAAGAGGCATACACACACAGAGACCAGCATCGCGTGAATCGACCGATCCACTAAAGGCGTCGAAGGCGATTTGTTCTGTTCTGTCCAGTGGATTAAGATTCTAATTTAATGGTACAGGTGATTTATGGCTGTTCTCGATCGGCTAGCTATATCAAATTAGGAATATGAAGAACCCTTTCGACCCGCACTGCATTTTGTAACTGGTACTCTTGCTGACACGGGCAGGGCCTACTGGCGAGGGGGTTATGTGGTATGGTTAGGGATCAAATCAGATTTGATGCCCAAAAATACGTATGCAGGTGATTGCGGATCAGAGCACACAGACATTCATACCATAGTCCGAGTCCTGTTCCTCTTCTGTTTTACGAGTTCGACGGGTTAGACCGCTAGCGGAATCAATGGCTGCATCGTTGGGAATAGCAATTCTAATGATATGCTAAATGTATGCAAATTGCGTTTCGTTCGTAGGAGGAAAGAGGTATATTTCATTTAGTATAGTGTCTTGCATTAGCGTATGAATATAATGACAACTTTTACTGGGTTCTAAATCGTATGGTACAGTATGTAGTGGCGCATAATTGGGGCACAATCCGATGTATGATTGCTCCGCGGACTCCCACGAGAATATCGCGGGAACAGAGAGCTATATGTGGTTTATTCTCCGGATAATAAAACTAGCGTTAATTGCATAACCACACAACTGGTCCTGAGGGAGATTCCTAATCGGAACGTTTATGCAGCAAACGAGAACCGTTTCTGCGGCATTAAGTGAAGTAACGTGCAGGTGCCCAAGCGCACCGATGCTGGGGTGTGCAGCCTTCGGGTGACTTCAACAGGGGCTAATTCAGAAAGCCCTTATCCCGCGTTTGTGAACGAATGACGGGTGCGTTTCAGCACAAAGAAGATCAGAAACGAAGCAAGGCGGGGCGATGCCCCCTGTTCGCTTGGCGAAGTGAACAGACAGGGTATCACGACCGCTGGTCTATACAATTTATTTCTAACGAGCGGAGCTCAAAAGCCACTAACGTGCCAAGGAGTGGCGGGTAGTCTTTCATCTTGTCTGTAAACGTTGACCCAAGAGAAGCAAATGCGGACGACTTATACGACTTAATTCCTACGCATACGTTGTATCGAAACGAACAATACCAAGAGTGGATTATTGGATAATCGTCTTCCGGTCCACTTAAAAGAATGTAAACTAGAACGGTTGCCTCCATTCTGTATCTCTAAGGCGTCTAAGGTTCTACCGTAGTATGACAAATAATATAGAAAGCAACTTGAAACTGTCATATAATCTTGATCATTTCCAGCAGAGCGTTGACGTCCTCTCGTTTTCTCTCGCGCTTTCTTCCCTTTGTTGGCTTTATGTTTGTGAGTAGGGGCGCGCAGCAAGCAGGCCTTTCGATTCTATCTTGTATTCGTCATTTTTCAATTACGAGGTCACGCCAGTCATGGTCGTCATTTGTCTCATAAATAGAACTTTTTGAACGCTCTGTAAATGAGGCATATATTATTCGTCCATTAACACGCTTCAGCCATGTGTACGTTCATTTCGTCAAATGCTATTGCCTTTTAATCCTAGGATACAGTAAGGAAGTAATAGGTGCAAAGGTCGATTTATAGCAAATACACTGTAACATGAACGTTTTGGGGTTAGTTTATTCTGACCTCATTCTCGTGTTAAATTGATTTGTGGTTGTCAATATTGTGTCGTTCAGTTTCTTTTAAACAACTGCGAACGGTTACCTTTTCATGCATTTTCGATTTAAGGAGGCTGAGGAGATCTATCGGTGAGGTAATCACTGTTGCATCTGGACAAATCGATAACAAAAAAAAAGCTCTACTCGGATACGAGCCTAATGCTCATTGGGGCACAGCTTCTGCTACTTTGAGCAGCTACGTAACGTAGTAGTCAGTGTTGTGATCGACACTTGGTAACAACAATAACTGTGTGCGTACATTTTGTACAACTTTTAGAACCTCTGTTTCCATTTCCGCTTCAACTGTATATTTGCCCTTTGCCAAAATATAATCCTGCATTTGCCCTCTGAAGCAGTTTTTGTATCAGTGTTTTTTGAAGTTCGGTTAACGAGCCATCTCCAAACAACAGTACTAACAGAAAATTCTAGGACATTTTAAAAAATACGGGAAAATGATAAACGTACTTTATCCCGCGTTGCAGATGTATTTCTTTCGCTACCTAGACTTCGATTAAAAGATTACCTTCGGCCCATTTTCTTACGTGTCGGGAACCTTTTCTCTTAACATGTACGTATGCGTGCGTAAACGGTACCTCCAGTTATTCGCGAACGACTCCTTTAGCATTTACATGGCTATTCCCGTTGGTCACAGTGCTGTGTCTATAATAGGAAACATCTACAGAACCTTATAGGACGTCTTTTCGAAACGCTGATATAGCTATATTGCTATCCTTACTATCTGTTGAAGTTCAACTTAACTGGATTATTAAAGATAACGTAATCAGTTACGTCCTACTACGTAAATAGTAGAGACAGAGTGATGTTCCGAAAAATGTGCACATCTGGGTTGTTGCAATTAGTTGTAATAACAATAATAATAGTTTAAATATTAAGCGAACTACAAAGATGTGCGCCGAGATTCACATTAGTACCTATACGAGGAACGAATAAGAATCTTGGCAAAGAGTCAGGAGCACTAAAGAGGAAACGTGCACAACTGATTAGATCAAACAATCTTATATTAATTACTGTTGTTTAATGTATTATCAAGTTTTTTCTCTTGAAGCAATGAACCAGATACATGGCATGACTTACCGTCCGAGGCCTTTAAGACCGGCGACTTCATTCAATTTTCGTGCAGCATCAAACACCGATGATTCGTCATCATGGTCCCTGTGAACATGAAGGAAATTAGAGCGTAGTCTGGTCTCTTTTCACCGACCTACATCGATGTTGCAAAATCTGAATAAGTCTAATACAAATCAGTGTTAATTATATTATGTAAGGTAATTAGCCCCGTTTCAACATTATTAGTGCCGATCCCCATTTGTGATCAACTCCGTGCATCAGTACTAAAAGCTAAAAACGTTGTCGGCCAGTTTGTCTGTTGAGCTTTGGCATGAAGGACAAATTGTGTTTATGTTTCTTTTGGTCGCCCTTGTTTAAGTGTCCTTATTCATTTATTCTCTAATTTTCGTTTTATCTTTCTTCACCAAATTTTACATTGTTGAGCTATCACTTATTCATAGCGTGATACTTCCAGCCGGTCGAGTCACAACTGCTGCCTCGGTTTTCCTGATTAAAGTTTAGATATTGCTTTTTCCGAAACCGCTGGAAATGTTGAAAAACACTCTTGTATTCTATGAGAAAACTCTTATAATACGGCAGTACGGCGGACGTAAGCTTTCAAGCCTCTTTCGGATAAGCGCGGTTGCGCTAGAATGCTACCGCTGTTACCGCTAGAGGCAGTGAATCGTGCTAGGTTGAGAACGCAGGCTGGAGCGGGGACGATTTTCCCAGACACAAACTTCCGGACTTCGAAGCAAATATGCTGTGCCGTTATTGCTTAATCATAGCAACTAAATTTCAATCTTCGTATGACGTGCTGTTAGTTGTCCTTTCGTTGCCATCTGAAGTCTGCCGAATATTTGCTTCCTGTCAAAAGTATCCTCGTTATTTTGACAATGGCAACACCAAGAAGTTTCTGCTCGAACGAAGTAAACAAGATAAAAAGACAGATGCTTCTCCTTTTCAACCGCGTTTATTGGTGGACCTGTCCATATCTGTCAGTCGGTGCGGGTAGAGATCCTAGGCACTTTGAGAAGAGAACAACACAAGAAAGTCACATCGCTGCGTCCTAAAAACTCCGCACCATTCTCAACAGAATCGGCAAACCCGCTGCATTTGGCTAGACATAATCCAATTTCGGAAGAAGATAAGGCTGCCTTGTATTCCTTAAGTTGTGCCCTTTGTCATACTATTTTGTTCGGAACTGTATTCATAGACTTGGGCATGCTTCAACGAAATCGAAAAAGCCACAAGTACATCCCAGAGGAAAAGAACCAGAGGGGGGACGAAAATGATCCGCGTCGGGTAACTTTAAGAAAGCACAAATGGCTTCCTCAGATAATTTATAGAGAGACGCAAGGAATTTTGAAAGCATAGGATACCCGCTAGAAGTTTAAATTTTAGTCAAATCAGTTGTTTGACTAAGACATACTTACCCTTTAGACAATTTACCCTTTTAGGCTATTATTAGTCCGGCAGCTTTCCTATACAGACTGTACAATTCGACTCAATCTAGCCTCCATTTCGTGCAAATAGGCGAATATTAGATTTGGGGAGTTTCAGAACGAACTTTTGTGTCTCTATAAATGATCTACAAATGCAGGCCACAGTGATTACGATGCCCGAAATTACGTAGGACTTAATCAACCAGTTGCTCAACCCCAAATTCAAAGTTACATCCTTCTGGGATTTTATGATAAAAATTCTAGTACGATACGAAGATTTAGCCGAAACCTAGTTTCTACACATGTCTTTGTGAATATTGCGCAAAAGCAGTCATAAAAGATTACGGAACTTATCGCCTGAATATGATACGTACCACACGTCGAGATGTAGTCGATCTGAGTGAATATCATCGATGTCTCTAAAACAAAGATAGATCCGACTTGATTATTTTGAGAAGTACCACAGATATTAAGTTATACTAATGGAAAATAGACAAGTGACTTATTTTGAGCGTACTCCTCGGGCAGTGTTTAGCTGTCGAGGTTTTCCGCTCTGTTTTTGAAGCCTTGAATTTTCTGCATAGTATAATCGTTAAGGTCCACAACAGTGCATAGACAATTAAATGACGCTAAAGCGATTAGGCCACGCATTCGTCTGCCGACAGGCAATAGGCTCTACTGATCCGTTTGAATTAAACAGCCAATGAAAGTGCTATGATGGCAGATACATTACAAACATCCGTGCGCCTCGTTTCCTTGAAGAATAATTTCGAAGGGACGTTTCGGACCTACGAAGCGTAGAACTGTCTGCAGCTAATGATGGTACTGCTGCGGAAAATGCACGCCGATAGCTGAGCGAACTACGTCTTGTTATTAACGCGTGAAGCGGTCTCGTCTATTAGATTGATAGAATTACAGAGAACGCAAGCGTTGCGCTATGATGTCGTTAGCTCAACCGATTACAGTATATTTATACTTTGCGTAAGGGATAGAAATGTTTACTTACCGTCAATTGGTCATCATCGTTATCAACAATGGTAAGTATTATTTGTGTCTATATCGATAGTACAAATATGACACTATATGCCCAACTGGATTTACTCCTAATTCGAGGTTATATACAAACGACAAGTACGCGTTGTTTCTCTATTTAACTGAAGGGCTTTATAATGAGGCGATGATTCGGGTATGTATTTATGTTTGTCAGATTGTTTTTGCGAGCCCTGTGTAAAGGATTCATGAAATATTTTTTGATCCTGTTCAAACAGGTATTAGTATAGCGTCAAAGTAATCGACCGGTATCCTATCCATTGGCATTATAGTGAGCTCGGTCAAAAAAATTACACTTTAATTGGCCTAATTCGCCTTTTGACAATAGGTGCTCACAATCGAAATCGTTCGTTCCACTTGGGATTGAGCGTAGACGGTTTAACGGTTGTCGTTCGGATAAATTTGGCTGGTAGCGTGTCTTGCAAACTGTTACTTCTGCTCCGGCTATGATGCTGATGCTCGCGACGCTTGAACGACGCTCCAAGTTTATTACGAAATGAGGATCGCAACGACGGACTGTAACGGAAGGAAACAGAATACATTATAACTATATAGATATTTGACTGTAGCAATGAAAATGTTCAATCCACCTAATCAACGGTACGGCAGTAACACTGTCAGTAATAGATACGGCTCCGTAAAAGGTTCGTCCACTTACTTACAATTGCATCTTAATGAAGAAGATAAATTATTTTACCTGGATTTGGATAGGCGCAAACTGTTTCTACAGCTGTACATCGGCTCAACGTTAAATAGACGACTGTTCTCTGATCCCGCTAACAGGACGGATTGAGATCAATGCATAGGGCATATTGGCACCTTAACAATCGCTCTGTTAAAGCTAAAGCTCTGTCAACTGCCTAGCTCTCTTCAGTTGAACGCTGTTGTCACGTTGTGTAAAAGTGGGTGAAGAAGTACACCGAACAGCAATCGACTATTAATCTCAATATAATGCATACGTAGCAAGAACTTTATCGTAAGTGACGCTATTGCGAGTGATGAGAGCAATTTAGGCTCAGTGAAAAGAAATGACCATTGGCTAGCAACGGCGGTCTACTTCAATTAATTTCGAATTATTTTTTTCGAATCATTCACTAAGCTTTATTATCACTTTATGTACTTTAAGCTAAATTACTTTAATTAAAATAAATCTGCTTAAAATGTACCGAGACAAATATATCCGTAGTCTTAGTAAATGTATCAAATAAAATTATATATCATCGTGTTCTTTGAACCAAATCAGCTATTTGCTTGCTTACATCTAAACGCTGAATTTTGAATTATACACCTTGCACACGGCAGGTGCAAGGCCTCGCATTAGGGTCGCTACAAAAACCTGCCAGTGCAGGGAATTCAATGCATAAATAAAGGGCGATCTCGAACTATCAAGCAGGAGAAGGGATTCCTATACTCGAGATGGGCTTTTTTCTCTATTGCCATGATTTATATCGGAATATCGAGATGCGTCTACGCCTATTCCTCGGCTTAGTAAATAAGCAGGCAACCGCTGCACCAATGTGACGATAGACAAATGCGATGAGACGAAATCAAAACAATATATTCATATACGCTTTTAGTTCAATAGAAATTAAAACGGGTACCGTTTGCCATTTTTTAGCCTCATCCACTACTTACGTTCTCTCCGTTTGTTGTCACTACAGAAAATTGCTTTTTAAACTGGGGCTAAATTTGTATTTTTATTGCCGCTGGCAGCGCTATTCGCTACAACGATCTGGTACTGCGCTTGCTCGTCTGTACAGCATAAATCCGTTATCAGGAATGCATCGATTTGACTGTTCGTCGATTGAAGGACCGCAAGGGCACTCGCACCTGAGGTGTTGCCCACGGGGTGTTCTCTAGTCTCACTCATCGTTTGTACCGTTCATGTGTACCGCCTTTTTATGCATTCGGCAATTTACTAAAGGCTATTTGGGCTACTTCTCTTATGCCGGAATATATGGAAATCGCGTATGAAAATTGCTAGACTATAATCCCAGGCGAGAGCGTTCATGTAGCCATGGTAGCGTCTGCAACTAAGAACGACTGCGTCTGATTCTAATGATATTGCTATCTTCAACGATACTTTCCGCTGGACAACGATGAAGAGAATAAGGCCAGATAAAGGTGCATTCAAATTAACATGTAATAAATGTTCTACGGCATTATGAGCATTTCTGTCACGAACTAATATACACGAGAAAATCCAAGCAATAGCTTAGGGGGATAATTTTGAAGAACGGTCAAATCGAAACGGACTTCGCGTTCGAAACTAGACATATTCGTAGCATTAAAACCGTTCGAACGGCTTCAAAAGGAGCTGTGTATTAATGTAATGCACAGATAAAACCAGAAAATATACAGTACTACTCGGTTAGGTGGACGAATATCTAAACAAAGAACATCCTCAAAATAGTACCCTGATGATCTAATATTAAAGGCTGGTGGTATCTGATCGCTTGACAAAAAGGTTAGTTTCTGATCCACGCACGTCTACATGTTGGGCATCGTCCGAAAACTAACTTAACCCAGCTATGTCAATTAGATGGTGGCCGATGACCGGCTTATTCTAATGTTGCTAGGATAGATTGGGCCTACTGGTTTGGATAGGTTTACTACACGACGTGCTTGAGTAGACTCCAATAACCAAACATGGTCAATATTTACCGCGGTTTCATTGTACAGCCCGACCTATTCAATAAAGCATTGCAAATGACTCCAATCTTATGTCTGGTTATAGGATCAGGGTGATGTGATACCTTGTTTCAGCGACATTGTTGCGGATGCTATAACGGCTAATCTTCTGGCGTAAAAGTCAGATGTCGCTGGTTCAATCCTGGAAGTTATACATCTGTGATAAATAAATAAATAAAGTTTCAATGCTTAGTAATGAATACAGTGGTAGAGGAAATGTGAAACCTGCAAACCAGCAATGAATTTCTGGATTATGACAGAAAATCTTTCGGCACGTTGTGTGCCGGAAAAGGCTTTTTTTTGTTGTTTCGAAGGAACAAGTACGTATTCCTTGAGGGCCACAGCGCTGCGGAAAGTCATTCAAGACTGGTGAAGATATTAGACCCGGAGGCTTTAGCGCAGTCACAGTACGCGGATGCTGCAAACGCTTTAAGAACGGAGATTGGAGTATTGAAAACCCGCGAGGTGTTGGTCGGATACTCGAAACCCAAAGTCCAAGAACGTATTGCCGCAATCCAGGAGGTTTCTTATGAAAGCAGAGCTTGTAGGTTAAAGGTTCAGTCGCATTTTACATGTAAATTTTTTTTAAATTGTAACCCAAATGCTGAAAATTCGGAGACTAAGTAAGAAACGGGTGTTCTTTGAATTGACTCGAGGTTTGTTAGAAAGCTAGGTGGTGTGTTCCACGTGCAATATGTGGAATTTAATTAATTATTATATATTATGATTATATGATTAATATAATTAATTATTGTAAAGAAACCTAATATAAAAAATTCGCCTGAAGTTTACGGCCGCCATGGACAAGGTACGATTTGATCTCTACCGTCAGCCGGAAAGCTACTAGGCGAGCAAATGGCGTTTAGCTGGAAAAGATTCGGTTCGATGGCAGTATCGAGTAGATTTGGGCGTAAGGTGAAGGTAATACCTACAACCTGAGTCTCAGGGGCGTCTGTTACAATCAAAAACTCGCCCAAAATGAAATAATCCAGCCCCTTGTCTTGAGTTTTTTAAGCGACTCACGAGCCGTTAGCACGGCAGTGAGAACACGCGGTCTGTTTACTTCGTGAAAATGTTAAACCTCATCGCTATGTTTCAATTACTTCCTGAATGGAGCAATGGAATATCTACCATTGACTTTAGCTCACTTACTCTCTTGATCTAGGTGCTTGTGATTACGAGGTTTGTTGTAGGTAAGGGGGTAGCTGCTGGGCTACGTACCACTATCGATTTATTTCGAAAAGCCGTAAGTTAGCCCAAAGCGCTGGGATAAGTATGTAAATAATAAAGGACAGTGCCTCTAACGCATGCTTAAAACGACCGTCATTCGATTCCAAAGTCGCCGGATTAATTTCTAACGTCTAATAGGAGTACTTGCCAATCAGCCTTGCACTTTTAATTCCAAGTCTCAGCCCTCTGCTCTAAAAAGACATTAGTAGATTACTTTATGTACATTATCACTAGTTTCTTTTGTTTTTATGAACTGACTCGTAACTTCAACTAGTCAGATAGTTTCATCAAGCAAATCTGGTTGACTCTATTGAACAAAAAGACGGGGCTTGATATTAGACACTAAGTTACACCGAACAATTTTGTCAATCTTTCGATGTATGCAAATACTTCCGAAGTAAGAAGAAGGGTAACGTCGTACACTGGACTTACAGATCTGCCAATTTGATAATTATTCTAAAGCTGAGCCATACGGTATTTCGTTACGTATTCCCTTCAGATAGAAGCCCCTTCAATAATGTAGACATCCCTATGCAGTCGTTTGCTTTCCTGTGTGAGGCAAAAAGTGTCCCCAGAACATTTGGTTCACTACGTTGTGAAAGCAGATAGTTTCAGGCCAAACAATTTAAGCAATGAAGCTAGCTATTGAAAAGAATTAATCCAGTCCAGTATTACTGGTTATTAAAATTGATTTGCCGATAAGAAATTAACCATTAAGGAAAACCTCCTCTTGTTTTGCTTGGAATACACTAAAAACGAACAATACACAGAGATTGTTAATTTTATACCATAGTATTCTAACGACCTTTTGCGGAATTTTGGACGATGACCGACTGTATACCTTTGACTAGGATGCATTGGTGTTGCTCTGCAGTGGACACATCTTCCCACGAATAGGACATGCACAGTAGCGCTTAGATTAGTGGTTTTTCTAAATATAAATCTGTGACCGTACCTAAACATTTGTTGTCAATTTAAGTAGCTGCCTGTTTGACAATACCTTGTCGTTTGAAATATTGTTCTACACGTGCAAATCCTCGACTATAGACCTTTAGTGTGGATTGAGTGTGCCGAAAACCATATAAATCTTCTTCGCACGTTATTACTATGCCACACAACGTTCAAAGAACTGAGGTGTCCAATACAATGGGTCGTGTAAGTGCTTTGTCAGCCCAAAAGTATTCTATTGTACTACACAAGCACGCTAAACCATGTGCCTCTCTCTTTATTCGCATTGCTACAGACTTGTCAAACAGTATGGTCCATATTGCCAGCCGATGCCAAATGATTCAACACAATGACCGGGGCTATTATCGTAATTTATTTCCTTTTCGCTTACTTTGATTCATACAAGCTAGCTTTACTTGGTTAAACAGGCTACTTGCACCCCTTTCTGTCCTTCTCAGGTTCGGGGCCGTTTGTTTATAAGATACTTATTTAGCGTCTAGTTCTCGCGGTTCAGATTTAAGTACGAGGCAATATATGCTATTTCAATAGGGCCAACTCCAGGTCCATACAATAGCAGTCGGGCTAAATCTGTATGCATTCAACTACGCTAACTTCTGACATCCGTGACGTATTTCTATTCATTTTAT